CCTACATGCATGTCACAATGGCAGCAGTGGACCTACATGCATGTCACAATGGCAGCAGTGGACCTACATGCATGTCACAATGGCAGTAGTGGACATACATGCATGTCACAATCGCAGCAGTGGACATACATGCATATCAAATTGGCAGCATTGGGCCTACATGCATATCACAATGGCAGCAGACGACCTACAAGCATGTCACAATGGCAGCAGTGGGCCTACATGCATATCACAATGGCAGCAGTGGACCTACATGCATGTCACAATGGCAGCAGACGACCTACAAGCATGTCCCAATGGCAGGAGACGACCTATAGCATGTCACAATGGCAGGAGACGACCTATAGCATGTCAAAATGGCAGGAGACGACCTATAGCATGTCACAATGGCAGCATTGGGCCTACATGCATGTCACAGTTGCAGCAGTGGACCTACATGCATGTCACAATGACAGCAGTGGACCTACATGCATGTCTCAATGGCAGCAGTTGACCTACATGCATGTCACAATGGCAGCAGTGGACCTACATGCATGTCTCAATGGCAGCAGTGGACCTACATGCATGTCACAAAGGCAGCAGTGGACCTACATGCATGTCACAATGGCAGCAGTGGACCTACATGAATGTCTCAATGGCAGCAGTCGACCTACATGAATGTCTCAATGGCAGCAGTAGACCTACATGAATGTCTCAATGGCAGCAGTGGACCTACATGAATGTCTCAATGGCAGCAGTGGACCTACATGAATGTCTCAATGGCAGCAGGCGCCTTACATGCATGTCACAAAGGCAGCAGTGGACCTACATGCATGTCACAAAGGCAGCAGTGGACCTACATGCATGTCACAATGGCAGCGGTGGACCTACATGCATCACAAAGGCAGCAGTGGACCTACATGCATGTCTCAATGGCAGCAGTTCACCTACACGAATGTCACAATGGCAGCAGTGGACCTACATGCATGTCTCAATGGCAGCAGTGGACCTACATGCATGCCACAATGGCAGCAGTGGACCTACATGCATGTCTCAATGGCAGCAGTTGACCTACATGCATGTCACGATGGCAGCAGTGGACCTACATGCATGTCTCAATGGCAGCAGTGCACCTACATGCATGTCTTAATGGCAGCAGTTGACCTACATGAATGTCACAGTGTCAGCAGTGGACCTACATGCATGTCTCAATGGCAGCAGTGGACCTACATGAATGTCTCAATAGCAGCAGTGGACCTACATGCATGTCTCAATGGCAGCAGTTGACCTACATGAATGTCTCAATGGCAGCAGTGGACCTTCATGAATGTCTCAATGGCAGCAGTGGACCTACATGAATGTCTCAATGGCAGCAGGCGCCTTACATGCATGTCACAAAGGCAGCAGTGGACCTACATGCATGTCACAATGGCAGCAGTGGACCTACATGCATGTCTCAATGGCAGCAGTTGACCTACATGCATGTCACAATGGCAGCAGTGGACCTACATGCATGTCACAATGGCAGCAGTGGACCTACATGCATGTCACAATGGCAGCAGTGGACCTACATGCATGTCACAATGGCAGCAGTGGACCTACATGCATGTCACAATGGCAGTAGTGGACCTACATGCATGTCTCAATGGCAGAAGTGGACCTACATGCATGTCACAATGGCAGCAGTGGACCTACATGCATGTCACAATGGCAGCAGTGGACCTACATGCTTGTCACAATGGCAGCAGTGGACCTACATGAATATCATAACGGCAGCAGTTGACCTACATGCACGACACAATGGCAGCAGTGGACATACATATATATCACACTGGCAGCAGTGGACCTACATGAATATTACAATCGCAACACTGGACCTACATGCATGTCACAATTGCAGCAGTGGCCCTACATGAATATCACAATGGCAGCAGTGGACATACATGCATGTCACAATGGCAGCAGTGGACCTACATGCATGTCACAATGGCAGCAGTGGACCTACATTCATGTCACAATGGCAGCAGTGGACCAACATGAATATCACAATGGCAGCAGTGGACCTACATGGACGACACAATGGCAGCAGTGGACATACATGCAAATCACACTGGCAGCAGTGGACCTACATGAATATTACAATCGCAACACTGGACCTACATGCATGTCACAATTGCAGCAGTGGCCCTACATGAATATCACAATGGCAGCAGTGGACATACACGCATGTCACAATGGCAGCAGTGGACATACATGCAAATCAAATTGGCAGCATTGGACATACATGCATATCACAATGGCAGCAGACGACCTACAAGCATGTCACAATGGCAGCAGTTGGCCTACATGCATATCACAATGGCAGCAGTTGACCTACAAGCATGTCACAATGGCAGGAGACGACCTATAGCATGTCACAATGGCAGCAGTGGACCTACATGCATGTCACAATGGCAGCATTGGGCCTACATGCATGTCACAGTGGCAGCAGTGGGCATATATGCATGTCACAATGGCAACAGTGGACATACATGCATATCACAATGACAGCAGTGGCCCTTCATGGATATCACAATGACAGCAGTGGCCCTTCATGGATATCACAATGGCAGCAGTGGACCTACATGAATTTCACAATAGCGGCGGTGGGCATACATGCATGTCACAATGGCAGCAGTGGACCTACATGAATATCACAATGGCAGCAGTTGACCTACATGCACGGCACAATGACAGCAGTGGACCTACATGAATATCACAATGGCAGCAGTTGACCTACATGCATGTTACAATGGCAACATTGGGCCCACATGCTTGTCCCAATGGCAGGAGACGACCCATAGCATGTCACAATGGCAGAAGTGGACCTACATGCATGTCACAATGGCAGCATTGGGCCTACATGCATGTCACAGTGGCAGCAGTGGGCCTACATGCATATCACAATGGCAGCATTGGGCCTACATGCATGTCACAATTGCAGCAGTGGACCTACATGCATGTCACAATGGCAGCAGTGGACCCACATGCATATCACAATGGCAGCATTGGGCCTACATGCATGTCACAATGGCAGCAGTGGACCTACATGAATATCACAATGGCAGCAGACGACCTACATGCATGTCACAATGGCAGCAGTAGACATACATGCATATCACAATGGCAGCAGACGACCTAGAAGCATGTCAAAATTGCAGCAGACGACCTACATGCATGTCACAATGGCAGCGGACGACCTACATGCATGTCACAATTGCAACAATTGGCCTACACGCATGATACAATGGCTACAGACGACCTACATGCATGTTACAATGGCAGCAGTGGACAAACAAGCATGTGACAATGACAGCAGTGGACCTTCAAACATGTCGCAATAGACTTACATGCATGTCACAATGGCAGCAGTGGACATACATGCATATCAAATTGGCAGCATTGGGCCTACATGCATATCACAATGGCAGCAGACGACCTACAAGCATGTCACAATGGCAGCAGTGGGCCTACATGCATATCACAATGGCAGCAGACGACCTACAAGCATGTCACAATGGCAGGAGACGACCTATAGCATGTCACAATGGCAGCAGTGGACCTACATGCATGTCACAATGGCAGCATTGGGTCTACATGCATGTCACAGTGGCAGCAGTGGGCATATATGCATGTCACAATGGCAACAGTGGACCTACACTCATATCACAATGACAGCAGTGGCCCTTCATGGATATCACAATGACAGCAGTGGCTCTTCATGGATATCATAATGACAGCAGTGGCCCTTCATGGATATCACAATGGCAGCAGTGGACCTACATGCATGTCACAATAGCGGCGGTGGGCATACATGCTTGTCACAATGGCAGCAGTGGGCCTACATGAATATCACAATGGCAGCAGTTGACCTACATGCACGGCACAATGACAGCAGTGGACCTACATGAATATCACAATGGCAGCAGTTGACCAACATGCATGTTACAATGGCAGCAGTGGACCTACATGCATGTCCCAATGGCAGCAGTGGACCTACATGCATGTCACAATGGCAGCAGACAACCTACATGCATATTACAATGGCAGCAGACGACCTTCATGCATGTCACAATATACATACATGCATGTCACAATGGCAGCAGACGACCTACATGCATGTCCCGACGGCAGCAGACGACCTACATGCATGTCACAATAGACCTACATGCATGTCACAATGGCAGCAGACAACCTACATGCATGTCACAATGGCAGCAGACGACCTACATGCATGTCTAAATGACAACAGTGAACCTACATGCACATCACAATGGCAGCAGACGACCTACATGCATTGGCTGAAGGTGGGGGCTGTACTATTTCTGTAGTACTGTACTCGTATACACGTTTCCTGAATGTAGCGCATCTTTATGAAGCCTTCAAATGAGTTGGAATATCTCCCCACGTCTGAAGGCAAGTATCTGTATGAGATCATCTCGTGATTGAAGAGTGGACAGTCGGGTCTCCTCTTATGAACGTATGGGTCACGTTTGTGTGCGAGTAGACTCTGTGTCTCTGTCTATCAACAACAGTTTTCCGCACATCAATGTGTTGAACGAAATGAACATATGATCAAGTATATAAAAGTTCGGCCGAAAGGTGAATACAGAAATAAATATGACACACTACTTAACTGTTCTCACATAAGTGTTTATTGTTTATAAAACTATATGTTAACAAAACCCAGCATACAGTCGTCAAGGAAATACGTAGTAAAATATTTGAGACAGAGAATGGAATAATTCCGTATGTATGAGTGACGACGCTGTACAAATTTGCCCTCCTCATTTGCAGCGAGACCAATCCCATACAAATGCCATAATGAGTTAACGTTTATACAAAAGACATGATGCACACATCTCATCAAATATTCTGTCGGTTGATATATTCACAGTTTGAGCTACGTTCTTCAGTGGCGGATCCGGGAAGTTAAGATTTCAAAATATAAATTCACAAAACAACCCCACCCACCAACTCACCGCCTCCGGCACTGCCACTAGGGATAAATAGTCGAAACTTGAACCTGGCTGCCCTAATAAACACTCCGGGATCCGCATCCTCTATAGTAGTCACGGTTAAAACATGCACAAACATTGTACACTTTACAGTCGGTATTGAACATAAACACTTGTAACAACTGGGGCAGAGGTAACCGACTTGAAACCCATGAAGCTAAATAAGGTATTTTCCTGAAGGGAGGTATTGGTAGTATGTGAAGTCTATCCCTGGTCTGGCGTGTTCCACCTGACATGGATGTAATGTGCTGCGTATAGGACACGGACACTTCTGTTTTCCACCGAACCCTGCATGGAGGCCCTGACAGTCCCATGGAGGCCCTGACAGTCCCACGCAGGCCCTGAAAGTCCCACGGAGGCCCTGACAGTCCCACGGAGGCCCTGACAGTCACACGGAGGCCCTGACAGTCCCACGGAGGCCCCGACAGTCCCACGGAGGCCCTGACAGTCCCATGGAGGCCCTGAAAGTCCCACGGAGGCCCTGAAAGTCCCATGGAGGCCCTGAAAGTCCCATGGAGGCCCTGAAAGCCCCACGGAGGCCCTGACAGTCGCACGGAGGCCCTGACAGTCCCACGGAGGCCCTGAAAGTCCCACGGAGGCCCTGACAGTCGCACGGAGGCCCTGACAGTCCCACGGAGGCCCTGACAGTCCCACGCAGGCCCTGAAAGTCCCACGGAGGCCCTGAAAGTCCCACGGAGGCCCTGAAAGTCCCATGGAGGCCCTGAAAGTCCCACGGAGGCCCTGAAAGTCCCACGAAGGCCCTGAAAGTCCCACGAAGGCCCTGACAGTCCCACGGAGGCCCTGACAGTCCCACGCAGGCCCTGACAGTCCCACGCAGGCCCTGAAAGTCCCACGGAGGCCCTGAAAGTCCCACGGAGGCCCTGAAAGTCCCACGGAGGCCCTGAAAGTCCCATGGAGGCCCTGACAGTCCCACGGAGGCCCTGACAGTCCCACGGAGGCCCTGAAAGTCCCATGGAGGCCCTGAAAGTCCCACGGAGGCCCTGAAAGTCCCACGGAGGCCCTGAAAGTCCCACGGAGGCCCTGACAGTCCCATGGAGGCCCTGACAGTCCAACGGAGGCCCTGACAGTCGCACGGAGGCCCTGACAGTCGCACGGAGGCCCTGACAGTCCCACGGAGGCCCTGGCAGTCCCACGGAGACCCTGAAAGTCCCACGGAGGCCCTGACAGTCCCACGGAGGCCCTGACAGTCCCACGGAGGCCCTGACAGTCGCACGGAGGCCCTGAAAGTCGCACGCAGGATCTGTGGTAGCGCCTGGTACTTACTCCCATACAACATTTACAGTAAGGCCTAGATTGTTTCTCCACAAGACACTGTCGGCTACCCTTCCCATCAGAGGCCAGGAGCTAACACAGGAACATATTTGCATACGCCTCGGCCGTCATAGAACTGGAACATTAACATTTAGTCAGTGAGGAAGGAACCTGGGCTGTGAGATATTATGTACACATGACACTGGGCTGTGACGACCGTCATGTGAGATATTATGTTCACATGACACTGGGCTGTGACGACCGTCATGTGAGATATTATGTTCACATGACACTGGGATGTGACGACCGTCATGTGAGATATTATGTACGCATGACACTTGGCTGTGACGACCGTCATATGAGATATTATGTTCACATGACACTGGGCTGTGACGACCGTCATATGAGATATTATGTACGCATGACACTTGGATGTGACGACCGTCATGTGAGATATTATGTACGCATGACACTGGGATGTGACGACCGTCATGTGAGATATTATGTACACATGACACTGGGCTGTGACGACCGTCGTCATGTGAGATATTATGTACACATGACACTGGGCTGTGACGACCGTCATGTGAGATATTATGTACGCATGACACTGGGCTGTGACGACCGTCATATGAGATATTATGTACGCATGACACTGGGATGTGACGACCGTCATGTGAGATATTATGTACACATGACACTGGGCTGTGACGACCGTCGTCATGTGAGATATTATGTACACATGACACTGGGATGTGTCGACCGTCATGTGAGATATTATGTACGCATGACACTGGGATGTGTCGACCGTCATGTGAGATATTATGTACACATGACACTGGGATGTGTCGACCGTCATGTGAGATATTATGTACGCATGACACTGGGATGTGACGACCGTCATGTGAGATATTATGTACACATGACACTTGGATGTGACGACCGTCATGTGAGATATTATGTACGCATGACACTGGGATGTGTCGACCGTCATGTGAGATATTATGTACACATGACACTGGGCTGTGACGACCGTCATGTGAGATATTATGTACACATGACACTGGGCTGTGACGACCGTCATGTGAGATATTATGTACACATGACACTGGGCTGTGACGACCGTCATGTGAGATATTATGTACGCATGACACTGGGATGCTAACAGTATATATTCAATGAACGAAAAACATATTAGGCTACTTCAAATCCAACTTCTAAACTTACTTACTACTATATATTCATAAGAAAATAAACGGGAACATGAATAGTCTCTCTTTTATAAAATATTTGAACGCATTTAATAAGAATCTTGAAAACAGTATGGTCCACATTTCATGCGCTGTAATATGAATGCATCTCACAAATGAATGATTCATTCAACATCTATATAACCTTAAGAGTAATGCTCTATTTACAGATCTTACAGGAATGACACAGCTACGTATGCCGTCGAGCAAAAGTACCTTTCTGTATCCACAACCCACCGGAATCACTCTGTATACATTGGTGAATGCAAGCACTGGAATGATATGTTCTATTCCAAGCACTGGAATTTTAACGCTGGAATTATATGCTCTGTTCCAAGCATTGGCATTTTAACGCTTGGGCGATATGCTCTGTTCCGGGTACTGGCATTTTAACGCGGGAATGATATGTTCTGTTCCAAGCACTGGCATTTTAACGCTGGAATGATATGCTCTGTTCCAAGCCCTGGTATTTTAACGCTGGAATGATATGCTCTGTTCCAAGCACTGGCATCTTAACGTTTGGGCGATATGCTCTGATCCAGGTACTGGCATCTTCACACGTGGGTGCTATGCTCTGTTGCAAACACCGGCATCTTAACGCTTGGGTGATATGCTCTGTTCCAAGCATTGGCATCTTAACGCTTGGGTGCTATGCTCTGTTGCAAGCACCGGCATCTTAACGCTTGGGTGATATGCTCTGTTCCAAGCATTGGCATCTTAACGCTTGGGTGCTATGCTCTGTTGCAAGCACCGGCATCTTAACGCTTGGGTGATATGCTCTGTTCCAAGCATTGGCATCTTAACGCTTGGGGGATATGCTCTGTTGCAAGCACCGGCATCTTAACGCTTGGGGGATATGCTCTGTTTCAAGCACTGGCACCTCGATCAGTAAAGGCCATGGCTCTAAGATGTAAAGATCTATATATGGAATGCTACGTTTCTATGTTACATTTAACACTCGATATCCCACCTTTCCACTGTCTCGCTGTGCAAAGTAAGGTTTCATTAACTCAAACAGATCCCGGAAATTGAAAATGGCTGAAGTTGTTAAAATATTTATCTGGCGCCCGAGATGATAAGTCTGTGCTTTGGCATAGTGTTGTGAAATCACGGAACTCACTGGTGTCTCTGTAACCACCACCTTCATATTGTTACCTCTGTCCGACTCTCAACAGCCATAGTAATGTATCATTCTGTGATGTTTCCAGTAAACACGATTGGCGTCTGACACAACGTCACAAGATGCAGGTATACATGGCAGGGTAGACTGATGATAACAGCACCAACACATCAGTAGTTCCGATATTGAGCAGTATTAGCACGGGCTGCCGTCCTCGCTGTCTACTGTCTTAGGAAACCTCCGTTCATAAAGCGGGTTATAGAACGAGACCTCTTCTGAGTTGAACTCACTACAAAACCAAGACATACAGCATTATCATGTGTAATTGAAGACAAATAACATAGTCATTTGTACTTGAAGACAAAGAACGCTACTCTATGTAAATGAAGACAGATTACGTACATGTGTGTAATTGAAGGCAAAAAACGTAAATTACACAGTGTACTTGAAGATAAAAAACGCTACTCTGTACATGCGTGCAATTAAAGACAACAAACGTTCACATGTGTATGTGAAGACAAAATACGTTACTCAGTGCAATTGAACACAAATACCGCTACTCAGTGCAATTGAACACAAATACCGTTACTCAGTGTAACTGAAGACAAATACCGTTACTCAGTGTCATTGAACAAAATATCATTACTCAGTGCAATTGAACACAAATACCGTTACTCAGTGCAATTGAAAACAAATACCGTTACTCAGTGTAACTGAAGACAAATACCGTTACTCAGTGTAACTGAAGACAAATACCGTTATTCAGTGTAACTGAAGACAAATACCGTTACTCAGAGCAATTGAAGACAAATACCGTTACTCAGTGTAACTGAAGACAAATACTGTTACTCAGTGTAACTGGAGACAAATAACGTACATATGTCTAATTGAGGACACATAGTGTTACTCTGCCATTGTGTAACTGACAAAAAGCTGCAACTGACGTTGTTCGGGGAACCCATTTTATTCCAAACGCCAACAGGTAAGGGCCTTAGGTGCACCAATGCATCACTCTGACAGTTTACAAGGAATAACAGAATGTCTGGGGATTAGACGACAAATGAACTCATTTACATGCGTGCACTTTGAAAGAACTCGTCATTGCATGAAACTCAACATCACAATATTGCCATTCAGTGGGAAAGCCACCTTACCAGCAATCCACACATATGCAACACACGATCACATTATCCATGGAACATCAAACGTATTTCCATAGCCGGTGTAACATCGTATGTACTAAAAACTCTACAACTAGTTCAGCTTGTCGGGTTAATATATTGCACTGTGATATTTCCGATGTACTGAGCTGGACCTGAATGTCGATGAGCTCAGTGTTAGAAGCAGCAACAGCAGCTAACACTCCCACTGCGACCAAGGTACGAGCGGATACATATATGTGTGTCTCACCGCCACTGCAGCACCGCCATGAATAAGGAAAGTAGTGCGACGTCTGTGTGCACCTTGATGTTTGTGGATACGCAATATACATCTGACAAACATTACTTTACCAATCAATGTAGCCCATGTAACCCGTGTCATATGGGTCTATCAGCCTCTCAGTGACATAAACATGCCCTCACGAATATACTCTCTACCCACGGTATGTCATGCATGTATATACTCTCTACCCAAGATATGGCATGCATGTATAAACTCTACCAACGATATGTCATGCATGTATATACTACCAACGGTATGTCATGCAAAGTTTATACTCTTTCCACGATATGTCATGCAGGTATATACTCTCTACCCACGATATTTCATGCATGTATATACTCTACCCACGATATGCCCTGCATGTATATACTCTCTACCCACGATATGTCATGCATGTATATACTCTCTACCCACGGTATGTCATGCATGTATATACTCTACCCACGATATGCCCTGCATGTAACATACTCTCTACCCACGATATGTCATGCATGTATATACTCTCTACCCACGATATGTCATGCATGTATATACTCTACCCACGATATGCCCTGCATGTATATACTCTCTACCCACGGTATGTCATGCATGTATATACTCTACCCACGATATGCCCTGCATGTATATACTCTACCCACGATATGCCCTGCATGTATATACTCTACCCACGATATGTCATGCATGTATATACTCTACCCACGATATGCCCTGCATGTATATACTCTACCCACGATATGCCCTGCATGTATATACTCTCTACCCACGGTATGTCATGCATGTATATACTCTACCCACGATATGCCCTGCATGTATATACTCTCTACCCACGGTATGTCATGCATGTATATACTCTACCCACGATATGCCCTGCATGTAACATACTCTCTACCCACGATATGCCCTGCATGTATATACTCTACCCTCGATATGCCCTGCATGTATATACTCTACCCTCGATATGTCATGCATGTATATACTCTACCCACGATATGCCCTGCATGTATATACTCTACCCTCGATATGCCCTGCATGTATATACTCTACCCACGATATGCCCTGCATGTAACATACTCTCTACCCACGATATGTCATGCATGTATATACTCTCTACCCACGGTATGTCATGCATGTATATACTCTACCCTCGATATGTCATGCATGTATATACTCTACCCTCGATATGCCCTGCATGTATATACTCTACCCTCGATATGTCATGCATGTATATACTCTACCCACGATATGCCCTGCATGTATATACTCTCTACCCACGGTATGTCATGCATGTATATACTCTACCCACGATATGCCCTGCATGTATATACTCTACCCACGATATGCCCTGCATGTATATACTCTCTACCCACGATACGCCGTGCATATATATACTCTTTACCCACGGTATGTAATCCATACTTAAATCCAACATTCTCTTCACACGGTATGTGGTTGTATTTGTGTCCAATGATCCCCGTGACTGGGCGCGCGTGTTGTACTCACCTGGCACACGCGGGACTCTCCTGGGTCTCGCTGTCCTCGCACTGGGCGTTCAGCATACTGAAGTTAGAGTAGATAGGTTTCAGTAGGTTATTTCTGGAGTGAGTGCGTGAATATTTCTTCATGTCGCACCAGTGATGCGGCACCGGTCTACGGACATCTGTACAAGGGCAATGTACTGATTGTGTGAATAATGGAAACATTTAGAACTGTCAGCTGCCCTAACTGGTTTGTCAACCAGCCGTCTGAACATACCACGCAGCGTAAAAAGGAAATATGGAATTTTAAAATATCTTACTTGTCTTTCTCATACAAAGAGAGGTTCACCTCGGTGAAGGCATAGTTGGGGACATTGCGGCGCTTGGGCAGTCTTCGCCTGAAACAAGGAACACTTTATATAACATGATGTCTGCATACCCTGAAACAAAGTGGGATCAGCACAGCTGTCTGCAGTCTCACTAGGTGGCCATGGGATGTGTTGCAGTAGCGCCTCACACATCATCCAAGTGCTCCTAACATTGTGCCAACTCTGACAATGTACGCATAGTGCCTGATGGTGTATACGAATTTAGCGATGTCGTGCGTCAAATGTTCATAAACCTTATGTAAATTTAGAACATGCGCTACAATGAGCCCCGGGCGTTAGACCTTGACTATAATTCAAACTGTATTGAATCACATGCATGGCCTGGGCAGCAGCGACACTACATCCTCTGCTTATCCTGCTCACAGTTTCAAGTTTTAGTTGAGTTTTACTCCCCTGATGCTGTTCTGAGACACACGATGGTGTAACCAATGTTAACAACGTAGTTTCATTATATCCCGCTGTTACGCGCATGGTTAAATAGAGGCAGCACTTTGCTCCACGTCTGGTATTGGAGAAAGAAAGCCGACTTTTCTTGATCTATGTGTTCGATATGCACGACTGCTAATTGCATATAAAACGAAGTGGGTTAGATGGCAGACACAATAGTGATGCTGCTTGACAAATGATTTATATAGTTTAGATGAGCATTCGATAATTAATCTATTCCACACTATCTGTTATTGATCGCCAGGACTCGCTGGACTGAATCTCCATGTTCATCACACACTGGTCATCGGAGCTGTCCAAGGCTACACAAATCTTGAAGGTACAATAACACCTACTTCCACTTGAGACTTGTCTATATTTAACTTAAATCAATAATTTGAAAACTGCCAGTGTACAGGGCTGATTATATGAGTAGTGTTCTGTATATTGTTAAAGGCTGAGATAGTGCAGGCGACTGAGGGGAGGTAGCCCTCTCTTATTAGGTTAAAGCGGCGGCGGCCAGTGACAGGGTAATGAGGTGCTGCGCGCTCCGCCAGCCTGCTATCTCCCATAGGGAAACGATAAATAGCCCGGTAATTGCCTGAGTAGGTTTCTTATCACACACCATTTCAACATCAATGTATCACAATGCTTCCGAAAACAGCATCGTAAGAAAAAGAAAGCCGATAGTTTGATAAATAAAATGAAATACAGTGTGGCATATTGTATGAAATATTGGATTTTGTTGCTCCAGCTTATCCAGCTTAAAGCACCGTGATGCCCCTGATACACGAGAAACACGAGGCAATGCGACTTCCCCCGGCGGCCCCGCGACAACCTCCTACCCACGCTTGGAGTAATTGTACAGACAGAGTGCTGAGAGGCTGATACGGTGACATGTCTTTGGGAAATAGAATGTAGCAGTCTGAAGCCGACAACAGGCTACACACACGACGGAATTATATGACGCCATGTATATAGCGGTAAGATTGAGATGACCTTAAAGTAGGTCACCTGGACACGGGGCACAGACGTGCACTTCTTGCTTTCTTTTGTCAACTATAACACTAACAGAGACATCAAACACTAGTACAAGATATACGGTTCTTGGTGGAGTTTCAAACAGATCTGAAGTAATTATTCTGGAATTTTAAAATCGATAAATATATATACTGAACAACAAAAGTTCCTGTGATATTGAATAAGATTTAATGCAAAATTATGTTTATTACCAAATCTGAAACAATTCGGTTTGCAACTGTTTACAGATAAAAGACTCCTGTAAGTGTTCAAATGGTTTAATTTGCCATACTGACTTCAGAAAATGCGTGATTTCATAAAAAACATGAACATGCCAAAATGTCAATTTACAAATCAATAGCGTGCGTGTCCATCTCTGGTTTTATGCAGCCCCTAACCCCGGTACCTCTAGATGCAAGCGTAGCGTTTTATTGTATACTTTAGTGTACGTTGCTGTTGTTTAGTACACTTCAGTGTTCATGTTGTTCAGTACTCTTCATTGTTGCTGTTGTACACTTTAGTATTGCTGGCTGTTGTATAGTCCACTTAAGTGTTGATGTTATATAGTACATTTGGTGTTGCTGTTGTTTAGTACACTTAAGTGTTCATGTTGGTGAGTACATTTCAGTGTTGCTGTTGTTAAGTGCACTTTAGTGTTGCTGTTGTTTTCCACACTTAAGTGTTGTTGTTATTTAGTACAGTTGCGTGTTGCTGTTGTTTAGTACACTTTAGTGTTGCTGTTGTTAAGTACACTTTAGTGTTGCAGATGTTAAGTACACTTTAGTGTTGCTGTTGTTTAGTACACTTTAGTGTTGCTGTTGTTTAGTACACTTTAGTGTTGCTGTTTAGTGCACTTTTGTGTTGCTGTTGTTAAGCACACTTCACTGTTGCTGATGTTTAGTACACTTTAGTGTTGCTGTTGTTTAGTACACTTTAGTGTTTCTGTTGTTTAGTATACTTCATTGTTGCGGTTGTTTATTACACTTTAGTGTTGCTGTTGTTTAGTACACTGTAGTGTTGTGTTGTTTAGTACACTTTAGTACTATTGTTGCTGTTGTTTAGAACACTTTACCGTTGCTGTTGTTTAGAACACTTTAGTGTTGCTGTTGTTTAGAACTCTTTAGTGTTGCTACTGTCTGGAACACTTTAGTGTTGCTGTTGTTTAGAACACTTAAGTGTTGTTGTTATTTAGTACAGTTGCGTGTTGCTGTTGTTTAGTACACTTAAGTGTTGCTGTTGATTAGTACACTTTAGTGATGCTGTTGATTAGTACACTTTAGTGTTGCTGTTGTTTAGTACACTGTAGTGTTGTGTTGTTTAGTACACTTTAGTACTAGTGTTGCTGTTGTTTAGAACACTTTACCGTTGCTGTTGTTTAGAACACTTTAGTGTTGCTGTTGTTTAGAACTCTTTAGTGTTGCTGCTGTCTGGAACACTTTAGTGTTGCTGTTGTTTAGAACACTTAAGTGTTGTTGTTATTTAGTACAGTTGCGTGTTGCTGTTGTTTAGTACACTTTAGTGTTGCTGTGGTTTAGTACACTTTAGTGTTGCTGTTGTTTAGAATACTTTAGTGTTGCTGCTGTTTAGTACACTTTAGTGTTGCTGTTGTTTAGAATACGTTAGTGTTGCTGCTGTTAAGTACACTTTAGTCTTGCTGTTATATAACAATCGTGCATGCTTCTGCATATTACTCTTAGTACGGCATCTGTATACTTTTTGAAGTTGAAATCCAATTTCTCTATATCGGGTAAGTGAAATGTGATCAATGCTGAAGTAACTTTGGTGGATTCCTATCTCATTGTTGTTGAGCAAGGTTACGAAGCTGACAAACCAAAAACATGATTCGAACCCACGATCATGATATACATGCACGCCTAAGGAAGATACTTCTGCGCAGCGAACTGCGGCGCATTAGGCAGCTGGACCGCCACATATCAAATTAGTATGATTGAGTTAAATACACCTTATCCCTTTCTATATACATTTCATAAATAGCGCCCAGTCTTATCGGTGTATCAAAGGACGCAGAGAACATGGTGATGGCCTCGTGAGCTGTGTGTCAGCCTGTGTCAGTATGGCCACTACTGTGCTTCTGGTGGCCACAGTGTTGGCGAATTCCTTGCACAGTCCGGGAACACACAACAAGAAAATAAACATGAACAATAACTGTCCCGGACGAGGGCCGAAAGTCAAACAACAATTGATTACGAAAAGGGGAACAGTATAATTAATGTGGAAAAAGTCTCTTACTCGAGACTACATGCTTACATAAATACACGAGTATTGTGTTACGCCCCAAAGCTATTCTTTAAAATTGATTAACACTATTTACACGAGTGATAAAATGTACCATTTAGCCGTCCTAACGATGACTTGCGCTGTTAACGAAAATCATCGATGCATATTCCAGAAAGGTTTGTGAATTGTGTTGTTTGTTCTTCACACACAACCTTAAGAACTATCGATCGCGTCTCCTGTCTGCACCAATACTTTCGCCCGAGTCTCACGTGGTATATGCGCTCAAAGTCTGTACTGTCATGTATTTTGTGTGGTACAGGTGTTGAGATAAGCATTGGCTTAATTACCAATTCCGTTTAATCTTCATTGTGAAAAATAATATGTAGAAAATAGCATGCAGCGTGTTTACAGCTGTTTGCATATTGAGCATTGTTTATCGCGAACAGTATGTAGCGTTTTTACAGCAGACTGCTTAATGAATATTGTTTATCGCGAACAGTATGTAGCATGTTTTCAGCAGACTGCCCAATGAATATTGTTTATCGCGAACAGTATGTAGCGTGTTAAAATGGAAAAATTTGTGCTGTGAGCCTTGTGTGGATTGGGAAGTTATTCCGATATTACTTTGGCTTATGATTGCGGAGTTTAGATAATTATAAATATGACGCCTCTTATGGTCAATACCGATCGCAACTGAGTCGAAACTGTTGAAATAATTAAACATGCCGGCAATGAAGACGCACATTAGCTGTAATCAGTTAGATATGGAGGGAGTGTCGAAATGATGCTATAACTTACTTGTAATATCTACAGACAACGACAAGGACGACGATGACGATGATGAGCATGACAAAGAGCGAGGTGACCAGTGTCCACATGATGTAGAGGTACTGATTGTCTTCAGCTGGACTCTCGGCATCCATAACGCCTACCAGAACTCCACCGTCCTCACCTGCAAAACAGCATGCACAGATCACTGACACTTATGTACAGACATAAGACAGTTATACAATTCATAAATGTTTACACCAAGCAACAGCCTAAACTCATGGGATGTTCAAACCTTGACGTCCTTGTACATCACGCGTGGTGGTCATATTTGTGGCACTGGTCAAACTGTGTTCACTGTTAGAGAAGTCGTACGTTGGTTCCAAAAAATCAGCCGTCAGTGCACTCTGAAGAGAGGAGTCGTTGAGTTCTGGGTGTTCCTGATGTACCTTCACTCCGAGCCGAACTGCCGTTGTTGGCACTATACTGGGAGAGCTGGTCACTTTGTACAGGAATTTATAGGTTGCATGGAACCCAGTTCTTTCCTTGGAAGAGTCGGAATGGAACTTGACTAGCAATGTATTGTAGCGTGATGTGATGGAGGAGGGGGCCTCGGACCCACACAGGATGCTGAGGCGCGCGGCAGCAGGGGATTCCCCGTCGTACACTTCCACGCTGTCGTAATGTTCATTACATCGACCCAACCCATATTTGGGGAAGTCTACGTTAGTGAAGTGGAGAAACACCCTGGCGTCAGGAGGTGCTGTGATTGTCCATACACATGTCTGGTCGGCCGCATACTGCTGGGGCCATCCAGGCGACGCAAACTCACCAAAGTCGGTTGTCAGAAGGGCATGGCAGGGCCAGTCTGGAACAGTGTCACGGTTACATATTAGGTAACCATTTAACAAACCCCAACTTTACAAAAATAGCGTCCCCGGTGGACTACCGAAATATAAATAGCCAGGGCAAAACGTAAAGCTGCATACAATAAAGCAAAAAGGGATCAATCCACATTCCCTCAGGCAAGGCTAAATAAAAACAAAACGATAATAACAGTAATAAAAGAAACTTAAGGGAATCTAAATACCAAAACTCAACGATAGAAAAACACCTTAAACAAATAGTAAAAAGACACAAAGCCTCAACATGCCACCAAAACAAACTAACGGACTCCACACTGGTCACATAGACCTAAACAGCCATAAGCACAAAATTAAAAAGCCTCTTACAGGCCACTACCCCCACTGTCCCACAGTTAAGGACATAAACCACCTTATATTCCACTCCAATGTACACCGCAACAAACTCTAAGTGAAATAGGAACTCACATCACCACAACTCCTCACTAAATCCTCCAACTATTACCACCTCGGCAATTACCTAATCAAAACCAAATTAAACGGTAGGATCTGATAAAAACAAACAAAAGTAACCAAACATCACACTTTCATATCAGTTTGGTCAGCTACGTTTAGGCCCATGTTCCCAAATAACCCCATTACTCTAGTGTAATCATCATCATCATCATCATCATCATCATCATCATCATCATACACATTAGGGATACCCGCAATTATATCAGGAACGTTCAGAAAAATACAAGTAGTTCCAAAGTCTCATGACACAGGTTCGTATCAATAAATTTCGGATTCTACACCTCAGATGGATAGAAAACACTTTTATTGTAATAAACATTTTTTTATGGCAGTATTGCACACCATTAAGTAAAATCTCTGGGCATTTGAATTTTCCTTTTGGGCTTTTTACTTGAAGATAACATTGGTTAAGTGCATGTGCAAGCATTGTTAAACTCCTTGCATGGGTGTCCAGCTATTCCTCTGTTTGACTGATGACATTGGGTAAATGTGATTATTACTTCTGCAGAGTCACACAGAGAATCAGCATTCAAGCATTCAAAGTAAGTCATATAACCATATTGGTTAAGGTCTTTGTTAAATAAACGGTGGATAAAAGAAGGAAAGGATGACAAAATAAGAGAGAAACACAAATTTGGACAGAATCAGTTTCTTTTTGCAGGTAACAGAAACACCCCATTTCAATACCTGTCTCATAGAAGACTCTGAATCCCTGTGCATCGTGCTGCCCATTGGTGACCAGCTGAATGGTGATGTTGTTGGACTGACTTACGTAGGAACCAATATTCTGATCAGCACAGAAGCGCACGGGCCCATGTGACGTCATCTCCATAACCATCAGTTTGTCATTGACTTCATCACACGGGTTGTGCGTCTTGCGTCCGAGGACCAAATGAGTGAAAGTAAACTTGACTACCTAAAATGACAAACATGCCAATATATTCCACATTGATGTGACCCATAAAACGAAGCATCAAAGGCAATGGAAAGGGAAAAGAACCAGTTTTGAGAACACAATCACTCACTCTACAGCTCCTGCATAAAAAAGGGTATTTATTGTAAAGATCATTTTGAATACATTAAATAATTATTAACTGTTAAACAATGTCCTGTAAAACTCCACAGTACTAGTGACAGACACTTGTCGGCCTACGTACCTTAATATGGGGTACATTGATCTGTCAGAACACCCCAGTACTGGCGACCAGACAGTTGTTTGTCAACCTACCTTGTGTTGGCATACATTGACCTGCCAAGAGAAACCCCAATACTGGCGACCAGACAGTTGTATGACGGCCTACCTTGTGTTGGCATACACTGTCCTGCTAGGAGAACACCCCAGTACTGGCGACCAGACAGTTGTTTGTCAACCTACCTTGTGTTGGGGTACATTGACCTGTAGAAGAACACCCCAGTACTTGCGACCAGACAGTTGTTTGTCAACCTACCATGTGTTGGGGAACACTGACCTGCTAGGAGAACACCCCCGTACTGGCGACCAGACAGTTGTTTATCGACCTACCTTGTGTTGGCATATATTGACCTGCTAGGAGAACACCCCAGTACTGGCGACCAGACAGTTGTTTGTCAACCTACCTTGTGTTGGGGTACATTGATCTGCCAGAACACCCTTTACCCGCGACCAGACAGTTGTTTGTCAACTCACTTGTGTTGGGGTACATTGATCTGCCAGAACACCCCAGTACTTGCGACCAGACAGTTGTTTGTGAACCTACCTTGTGTTGGGGTACATTGATCTGCCAGAACACCCCAGTACTAGCGACCAGACAGTTGTTTGTCAACTTACCTTGTGTTGAGGTACATTGATGTGTCAGGAGAACACCCCAGTACTAGCGACTAGATAGCTGTTTGTCAACCTACCTTGTGTTGGAATACATTGACCTGCTAGGAGAACACCCCAGTACTGGCGACCAGACAGTTGTTTGTCAACCTACCTTGTGTTGGCATACATTGACCTGCTAGGAGAACACCCCAGTACTGGCGACCAGACAGCTGTTTGTCAACCTACCTTGTGTTGGGGTACATTGACGTGCCAGGAGCAGTTCAGGTGATGGGCATATTTCCGGGGCCAGTTTGGGCTTGCGAAGTTGCCAGTTGCAGTAGTCATCACACCGCCACAATCTGGGAGCACATAGTAAAATGTTATGAGCAACTACACACGCAAAGAGTAATAGGTTGGGGCTGTTGCCGGTATTACAAATGAATAATAATCATTATACGATGAGGTCAAATGGGCTATCCGCTTCCGCTATCCACCAGACGATGACGACAGTCTCGCAGATAGTGACTGATTTTAAGTGACACATGAGGTTTCAGTCATATCTGCGTAAACATCTTACAGCTACAATGGATAGAATTATCATAAAAATGCCCAAATGTTATCAGAAATCTTTAACTTGATAGCAGCCAGCGTTTCCCTAACGACGGGCTCCTGTCTATTCTATTGTTATGTGACGTCACTGGCGTCACGTTTCTTGTTTGTGACGCCATCCTATATAATGTTCTGTGACGTTGCTATTTGTAAAACAACGACTTTCATTGTGTGTTTTTTAATACAGCCACACAATTTCCACTGTTGTTTGTTGTTTTGTTCATTTGGGGGATTAACTACACATTCTATCCATTTAGCCATAATATCGGTAACGTGTTTTTCAGGCCTTTTCATTTGCAGAAGTTCTGCTCCTTCGTCGGGCAGTTAATGGCAGACCTCGGGCTTCTGCAGATGATAACGCCCTGATAAATACGTTCTATTGTCAATCCCACAACGCGCGATTACACTCCATGTAATGAAAGGGCGGGATGGTACGTGTGTTCATACTGTGTAACCAATAGCCATTGTCTGTTTGAATTAATTCTGTATTTGGATATTTGATGTCTTCTAACTAAAATACTCCAGTGGCACATGCTGAGACTTCCAGCAAGTATGTGTTCTTTACATTAGAGGCATTGCCGTTGTACTTTATCCTCAGCTGTTCGAAAGTATTGAATATATAGCGATGGGTGGTACGTTATTGATTAATATCTTTAGCTTCATCTAAGGTGATCTTCAGCCTACACATAATAAGTACAAGCATCTCCTGATCGCCTGCCTCCTGTTGACTGACTCCTGCAGTATAGACGGTAGTTCCTGCGACACTTCAATACAAACGTACCGGCTAACGTTACAAAGTATGTATTATGTTTCTACACACAACGATGTTGTGTTTCCTAGCAACTAGTAGATTGAGAATATAACGTAGGTATTATTACCCGCCTCCTCCTTGATCCTGTAACTAATATAGAACAACGTACAGTAATTGCTTAATTATCCAGCAGAGTTTGCAGCAGACATAAAAAGACGAACAAGCAAAGAGCGTACTGTGGAGTGTTTGATCATTGAGAGCCACAGAGAGAGAGCTTGTTACTGATAGAGCTGTTCTCGTGCCATGTGCAGCGGAGATGAGGAACAAGAGTATACCAGATATTGCAGGCATACCATTTACATGGTGTCGATCACGATCGCAAAACCGTGCACACTGCTTTGTTTCTTTTGGAACACGGACACGAATACACTGGTAAACTGAAAACATACACTTTGAAGTACTTGAAACACAATAATCCAGAACGACTTTCGTCGAATAGGCATATATCAGGAACTTAAATACTTCACCAGACGTCTCCAAAACTGCACCCTGCCATACACGGCGGATGAAGTCTTGTGAGGGCGTCTCTGTCGCTAGATCTATTTTCTGTAGACACTATGAAGCAGGGCGTCTTACAGTTATGCGATATATTTCTGATATGAACAGCATAATGTTCCCTCATAAGCGTTTGCCTTAGACAGTGGGTAACATACCTAGAAATGGTTTCATCTCGAAATGATGAACTTGGGTAGCTCCTTGGTCGTACAGGCCTCCTACATCACTTCCGGTCTTGGAACTCAGCATGCAGGTGGCATCCTGTATCTAGAACACAGATAGCACATGGCCTGCAGTTACCACCCCAGCCACTTCACCCTCATCCTGCATCTAGAACACAGATAGTACATGGCCTGCAAGTTACCAACCAAGCCACTTCACCCCTCATCCTGCATCTAGAACACAGATAGTACATGGCCTGCAGTTACCACCCCACCCACTTCACCCCTCATCCTGCATCTAGAACACGGATAGTATGGCCTGCAGTTACCATCCCAGCCACTTCACCCCTCATCCTGTATCTAGAACACATATAGTACATTGCCTGCAGTTACCACCCTAGCCACTTCACCCCTCATCCTGCATCTAGAACACATATAGTACATGGCCTGCAGGTACCACCCCACCCACTTCACCCCTCATCCTGCATCTAGAACACGGATAGTACATGGCCTGCAGTTACCACCCCAGCCACTTCACTCCTCATCCTGCATCTAGAACACATATAGTACATGGTCTGCAGTTACCACCCCAGCCACTTCACTCCTCATCCTGCATCTAGAACACATATAGTACATTGTCTGCAGTTACCACCCCACCCACTTCACCCCTCATCCTGCATCTAGAACACGGATAGCACATGGTCTGCAGTTACCACCCTAGCCATTTCACTCCTCATCCTGCATCTAGAACACATATAGTACATTGCCTGCAGTTACCACCCCACCCACTTCACCCCTCATCCTGCATATAGAACACAGATAGTACATTGCCTGCAGTTACCACCCCACCCACCTCACCCCTCATCCTGCATCTAGAACACATATAGTACATGGTCTGCAGTTACCACCCCAGCCACTTCACCCCCCATCCTGCATCTAGAACACATATAGTACATGGTCTGCAGTTACCACCCCAGCCACTTCACTCCTCATCCTGCATCTAGAACACATATAGTACATGGCCTGCAGTTACCACCCCACCCACTTCACCCCTCATCCTGCATCTAGAACACGGATAGTACATGGCCTTGAGGTGAACCAAGTGTTCGATAGAACGGACATGGTGTAGGCGTGGGCCACAAAAGAGTAATACTGCACTGCTAAACATGGCTGTAACAGTCGGTGTGAAGACTATAGTGCGCATAACAATGTGTTTAAAGCTTGAGGCGGTTATTACAGTGGGGTTAAAGACTGCTGGGGGTATTGCAGAGGTTTAAAAGACTGTTGTGCGTATTAGAGTGCATTTAAAGAGTGGTGTGGGTATTACAGTGCATTTAAAGAGTGGTGTGGGTATTACAGTGCATTTAAAGAGTAGTGTGGGTATTAGGGAGGGTTTAAAGAGAGTTGTGAATATTACAGTGAGTGTAAAGACTGTTGTAGGTATAAGACTGGATTTGAAAGCTGTTGTGTTTATTGTATTGGATTTAAAGTGTGTTGTGGATATCATAGTGTATATAAAGACTGTTGTGTGTCTATTGTTACACATGTTTTGGGTGTTACACATGAGCATGTTGAAGGAATGTTTTGGGTGTTACACATGAGCATGTTGAAGGAATGTTTTGGGTATTACACATGAGCATGTTGAAGGAATGTTTTGGGTGTTACACATGAGCATGTTGAAGGAATGTTTTAAGCGAAATTCTGCTTCCCATTCATGTTGAAAAATTGATACTCATAATGTATACGAAGAGTCGGCAGAAAGATACTATTAGTATTGAGAACTTAACTCTGCTGTACTTAATATTGCAATCATGCCAATGTATCTCCAAATAAGGAAATAATACTGAACTGAGTCCCGGCGACAGAAATCACACAATTCATTTTCCTCGTTCAGGGATCAACTACTCCCATCTAAAAACATGACCAATGTGATCATAATCTCCGCTATAGGAAATTAAAAATCTTATTTTACACAAATGTGCCCTACATTTCCGGCATGAAAAGGCGGGTCTGAGGCGTCCTTGTTTGCAACAACATAAACGCTCAATCAGTCGATCGCTTAGACTTGTCGTCCCGCTGGGAATATCGATCACTGAAAGATCAATGAGTAATGAGCCTAACAAGGCGAATAAGCCTCTTGTCCGTCAACCCCCATCACGCCTGCCCAACTGACAGACACTTGCATGTGTACACTCCTCATGCGTACTCACAAGAACATGTGTACGTGTACATGCGCCATTTCCTGCCCACACCGACACACGCATGGATCTGTACACCCACAACACATGCTTACATTAACACACACGTGCACCAACCAGTCCTGTCCACACTGATACACCCGTTCACCTACACCACACTCCTGCCGACACTGACACACCCGTTCACCTACACCACACTCCTGCCGACACTGACACACCCGTTCACCTACACCCACAATACTGTCCACACTGATACACCCGTTCACGTACACCAACAATACTGTCCACACTGATACACCCGTTCACGTACACCCACAATACTGTCCACACTGATACACCCGTTCACGTACACCCACAATACTGTCCACACTGATACACCCGTTCACGTACACCCACAATACTGTCCACACTGATACACCCGTTCACCTACATTTGTACACCCACCTCTCCTGCCCACAGTTGATACTTCCTTTCAAGCGTACACCCGGCTCACCAATGATCCATCTATACATTGGTTACACCGCCTGAGATTTGCATGCAAATGATATGCGAGGAAAATAAGTAAAACTATGTGTATTCAAATATTGAGTACTTTTCCATTCTGCAAACCAGACCCCTTTGTCCTTGTTTTGTCAACCATCAATAATCGGTATTCACCTACTCTGCTACAGAAAACTCAAAACCTTCACTGATTAAAAATCAAAGCATGGTAATGACTTGGCTGTGGAGAAATATCGATCCCGCCGTCTCTCAGTGAGTGTCACTTCCGCACATCCGGTGTAATTCTCACCTGCCTTCCTCACCTGCGGCGTTGAGTCGCTATATTGATCTCTACCCCAACAGCCAACCCTCCTTCCCCACCGTCCCATCAACTTCTCCCCATCCAATCCCACACACTGCCTCCCCGCCAGACTCGGCTACAGATGTCGGTATAGTTATGCAGCGTGTCTGATTTACTCCTGCATATGTCACTCATAGATCCATTTCTTGCAGTGCTTGGTTATCGTCAGTTGACTTATATTTCAGTTTTGTTTGTGTGTTTGCTGTTTAACACCACACTCAGCAATATTCTAGCTATATGACGGCGGTCTGTAAATAATCGAGTCTGTACCAACAATCCAGTGATTGATGTCATGGGCATCGATCCAATTGGGATACGATGACATGCATCATATTTTAGTAGACTGATATCTTCATGTTGACTGATTATTTAGTAGTCTGATATATGTGTTGTTGACTGATCGTGATATCTTATGTTGGTTGATATATTTATGTTGACAGAAATATTGATTCTAGTCAATATATTTATGTCGACTAATATATTCATGTTAGTTAATATATTAAGATTGATTAATATGTTTATGCTAGTTATAATATTCATGTTCACTGATATATTCATGTTGATTGATACAATTTCATTTACTGATATTCTTAAGTTGGTTTATATCATTTTTTTACTACTATCTTCAGTCAACATCTGATATCATGAGATAATGTATGAATGGAGGTGATTGTCTTTGACATGTCATGCTCATTGTAATGTACAACTCAGGAAACTCACCCCCATCTCAATGTCTCCCATTCCCAGCCCCTCACCTCTATATCTCCCCTTCCCAACCGACCCTTCAATATCGCCCCTTCCCCACCCTCACCTCTATATAACCCATTTCGCACCCCACCTTTATATATCCCACTCCTTACCCCTCACCTCTATATCTCCCCTTCCCCACCCACACCTCTATATCTCCCATTTCGCACCCCACCTTTATATATCTCACTCCCCAACCATCACCTCTATATCCCGCATTCCCCATCCGCACCTCTGTAATTCCCATTCCCATCCTCACCTCTGTAACTCCCCTTCCCCTTCCTCACCTCTATATCTCCCATTCCCCATCCTCACCTCTGTAACTCCCATTCCCCTTTCTCACTTCTATATCTACCATTCCCCACCCTCACTTCAATATCTCCAATTCCCCACCCACACTTCTATAACACCCATTCCCCACCCTCACTTCTATAACACTCATTCCCCATCCTCACCTCTGTAACTCTCATTCCCCATTCTCACCTCCATATCTCCCACTCCCCACCCTCACTTCTATAACACCCACTCCCCCACCCTCACTTCTATATCTCCCATTCCCCACCCTCATCTCCATATCTCTAATTCCCCTTCCTCACCTCTATATCCCCCATTCCACTTCCTCACCTCTTTATGTCCCATTCCCCACCCTAGTCTCTATATCTCCCACTCTCCACCCTCACTTCCATTCCCCACCCTCAACATACATCTCCCATTCCCCATCCTCAGCTCTATATCTCCCACTCTCCACCCTCACTTCTATATCTCCCATTCCCCATCCTCACCTCTATATCTCCAATTCCCCATCCTCACCTCCATATCTCCCCTTCCCCACTCTCACCTCCATATCTCCCATTCCCCACCCTCACCTCCATATCTCTAATTCCCCTTCCTCACCTCTATATCCCCCATTCCCCTTCCTCACCTCTATATCCCCCATTCCCCTTCCTCACTTCTATATCTCCCATTCCCCACCCTAGTCTCTATATCTTCCATTCCCCACCCTCAACATACATCTCCCATTCCCCATCCTAAGCTCTATATCTCCCACTCTCCACCCTCACTTCTATATCTCCCATTCCCCATCCTCACCTCTATATCTCCAATTCCCCATCCTCACCTCCATATCTCCCCTTTCCCACTCTCACCTCCATATCTCCCATTCCCCACCCTCACCTTTATATCTCTTATACCCCTTCCTCACCTCAATATCTCCAATTCCCAACCCTCACAGCTATATCTCCAAAATCTCCATGCTCACCTCTATATCTCCAATAACCAACCCTCACCTCTATATCCCCAATTCCCGATCCTCACCTCTATATCTCCCCTTCCCCATCCTCACCTCAACATATCCCACTCCCCCATCCTCACCTCAATATCTCTCACTCCCCACCCTCACCTGTATATCTCCCATTCCCAATCATCACCTCCATATCTCCCCTTCCCGACTCTCACCTTCATATCTCCCATTCCCCGACCTAATCTCTATATCTCCCATTCCCAACCCTCAACATACATCTCCGATTCCCCATCCTCAGCTCTATATCTATATCTCCCACCTTCACTTCTATATCTCCCATTCCCCATCCTCACTTCTACATCTCTCATTCCCCATTCTCACCTAGAGATCTCCCACTCCCCATCCAAACGTCTGTAACTCCCACTCCCCACCCTCACTTCTATATCTCCCATTCCCCACTCTCACCTCCATATCTCCCATTCCCCACCCTCACCTCCATATCTCTAATTCCCCTTCCTCACCTCTATATCCCCCATTCCACTTCCTCAACTCTTTATGTCCCATTCCCCTCCCTAGTCTCTATATCTTCCATTCCCCACCCTCAACATACATCTCCCATTCCCCTTCCTCACCTCCATATCCCCCATTCCACTTCCTCAACTCTTTATGTCCCATTCCCCTCCCTAGTCTCTATATCTCCCACTCTCCACCCTCACTTCTATATCTCCAAATTCCCCATCCTCACCTCTATATCTCCAATTCCCCATCCTCACCTCCATATCTCCCCTTCCCCACTCTCACCTCCATATCTCCCATTCCCCACCCTCACCTCCAAATCTCTAATTCCCCTTCCTCACCTCTATATCCCCCATTCCCCATCCTCACCTCTCTATCTCCGACTCCCAACCCTCACTTATATATCTCCCATTCCCCACCCTCACCTCCAAATCTCTAATTCCCCTTCCTCACCTCTATATCCCCAATTCCCCATCCTCACCTCTCTATCTCCGACTCCCAACCCTCACTTCTATATCTCCCATTCCCCACTCTTACCTCTTTATCTCCCATTCCCCACCCTCACCTCCATATCTCCCCTTTCCCACCCTCACCTCTATATCTCCCCCTACCCCACCCTCGCTTCAATATATATCCCATTCCCCACCCTCACCTCTATATCTCCCGACCGCCTCCGTGGTTTAGTGGTAGAGCGTCCGCCCGGAGAGCGGAAGGTCCGGGGTTCGATCCCCGGCTGCGTCATACCAAATGACGTTAAAAGATGGTACTTGTTGTTACACTGTCTGGCGTTCGGCCTTAAGGTGATAAAACAAGGACTGGTCAGCTGCTGAGCTAGCACTATAAATCGGCATCAGTCCGGACTAGTACAAGCAGCCACACAAACACACACACGTACATGCACGTCGCTATATAAGTGCAATAATCTTTGCCGCGACGTTAAACCCCATTTCACCTCACCTCGACTCTATATCTCCCATTCCCCATCCTCACCTCCATATCTCCAATTCCCCACCCTCTCCTCTATATCTTTCCCACCCTCACCTCTACTTCTCCCATTCCCCACCTTCACCTCTACATATCCCATTCCGCACCCTCACCATGTATCTCCAATTCCCACTCCCACTATTATCATCAACCCCGCACCCTCCAGTGTATAAACCAACCAATCCGAACCCTCGCATATGTACCTCCCAATCTCAATGTGATCACTGATGTAACTCAACCCCTCACACCCTCACCTTGGTATTGCCCAGTCACCGCCATCACCCATGTCATCCATCCACCGTTACCTGTGTTTCTACAAGTCCCCACCCAAGCATGTCATTCTCCAAACAGAGTTTATATATCCATGATTTGTTATCAACTGTTCATTTCCATAGTTTGAGATAAGTAGTCCTACCTGATAGTCAAAGGATCGGCAAACGAACTTGGTCTCTTCGAGGCAGCTGCGTGCGCATCTGTTGGGTGTGACCCTCTCGAATGTCCGCTCGTTGTTGCCCAGGACAACGGCATATGGCGTAGGGTAGAAGTAATCCAGGTAGGGAGCTGCAATAATACACATGTACCTATGACATTGGTCATTTTTGCATGGGCTGGGATTAATTTGTGTGGAAATACTTCAAAAAATGGTGAAACGATGGAAAAAACGCAACACGACCATATGAGAGCCTGTCGATGAAAAACACCAACATGATTTGTACGTGCAACTTCACTTTTCAAATTTTCGTTTGCGTGCCATCACAATCTCATAGCTAGTTTACAGCGAAACATGCCCATCGGCCGACCTCAAACAGGAGAAACATCTTCAGCTGTAGCCAGTTTGTTTCCATGTACCACCAAGCACCATTACTGTGGAACCGTTATCAGACTCAGGACGATCCGGTCGACCACGTATCACTACGAGAGCACAGGACAGATTAATACGGCTACCTCACTTGCGTGAAAGAACCTCAACGGCCACCTCTACAACTACGGCAATACCAGGATTGCGTAGGATATCAGGCCTGGCAGTAAAGAACCATTTACGCGCTGAAGGTATTCGAGCTAGACGACCAGTTGGAGGTCAATGGTGTCAAGATCATAGAGTATGGCCACAACTGCGATGGAGATTTGATTCAGTGACGAGCCACGTTTTACGCTTAGCCGTGCGGATGATAGACGGCGTGTTTACAGGCGTCGCGGGGAACGTTATGCACGAAACTGCATACGTGGATAGATTTGGTGGTGGTAGTGTGTTGATGTGGGCAGCTATCTACTACACTGGTAGAACAGACTTGGTGCAAGTTCAGGGGAATTTAACGGCACAACGTTACACGAATGAGATTCTTTGATTGCACGTCCTTTCCATAAGGCAACAAGCGAAAGTCATTTTTTTTAAACAAGACAACGCCCAACCTCACACGGCAAGGCTGGTAACAGCTTTTTTAGGAATCACAGCATCCAAATCCTGTCATGGCCGTCCAGGTCTCCAGATTTAAATCCAATTGAAATTTACGGGATGCACTTGATCAATGACTTCGAGCACGTCAGCAACAACCACAGAACCTCCGACAGTTGACCCAAGCACTGCACAATTCGGGATTTGATTGCTTCCATGGGACGACGATGCGAGTCAGTTTTGGACTCGAATGGTTGTCCTACAAGATATTGAGAACAGATGACCTTCACCTTTAAAATCTACTGTTCCATGTATGCCATATGGAACCTGGTTCAATGACAATGATGTGTGTCAGTTTTAAACAATCTATTACCATCTGTTGATTCTTCATATGATAATATAAAATATACATCTAAACACACTTTTGCGTTTCTCGTTTTGCAGAGTATATATACGCAGACACATCGGATAGGGCAAATATACGTTCAAGAAAGAACATTTAGTGAGAGTATATATATATATATTTGTATACATCCAGTATTTGTTACAGCTACAGCAGGAATAATATACGCATTTGCTGAGAACTTGCGAACACCGTAATATTTCGCGCGACATTTCATGAATCTAATTCCGAAAATCAATCTTTTGCTGAAATTGGGAAATTGCTAGATAATATGAAGGTTTTCGTTGGTGGGAACCGATGACGGAACAGCCCGAAGGCTTGGCAATATGGCGGTGGCAAGCTGACTGTCAGACCGTACAGCAACACCGTCACGGACAGAACACGATGGTTAAACTCTGTAGCCATATTCCATGTCGGGCTATACACATATACGTTCGTGTCCGCCAAGCTGTATGTGTATTAGCCGAAACATTTTGAACAAGTAGGAGGAGAAAGGGCATATGTAGCAGGAGAAGGGGCACATGTAGCTGAATAAAGAGCGCATGTAGCAGGAGAAGGGGCACATGTAGCTGAATAAAGAGCGCATGTAGCAGGAGAAGGGGCACATGTAGCTGAATAAAGAGCGCATGTAGCAGGAGAAGGGGCACATGTAGCTGAATAAGGAGCGCATGTAGCAGGAGAAGGGGCGCATGTAGCAGGAGAAGGGGCACATGTAGCAGGAGAAGGGGCGCATGAAGCTGAATAAGGGGCGCATGTAGCTGAATAAGGGGCGCATGTAGCAGGAGAAGGGGCACATGTAGCAGGAGAAGGGGCGCATGAAGCTGAATAAGGGGCGCATGTAGCTGAATAAGGGGCGCATGTAGCAGGAGAAGGGACATATGTAGCAGGAGAAGGGGCGCATGAAGCTGAATAAGGGGCGCATGTAGCTGAATAAGGGGCGCATGTAACAGGAGAAGGGGCACATGTAGCAGGAGAAGGGGCGCATGAAGCTGAATAAGGGGCGCATGTAGCTGAATAAGGGGCGCATGTAGCAGGAGAAGGGGCACATGTAGCAGGAGAAGGGGCGCATGAAGCTGAATAAGGGGCGCATGTAGCTGAATAAGGGGCGCATGTAGCAGGATAAGGGCGCATAAAGCAGGAGAAGGGGCGCATGTAGCAGGAGAAGGGCGCATGTAGCTGGAGAAGGGACATATGTAGCAGGAGAAGGGAATCCGGTGACGGGAGAAGCGGGCACATATTAAGGGTAAAAGAGAAGAACGTAATAGAAGAAATCGTTGTAAGTGGAGAAGTGATATATTGTATTGAGGATGGGAAATATGTTACCGAAAAAAATATGTGTTACAAGAAAACAGGATATAAGTTACAGATAAATGTGGTTACGCCTTCATATCGTTTATCTGAAGAAGCGATGGAAACATTATTATTTTTGAATAGATGAAACAATGGTTGGAATTGAGGCTATGGCATATTCGAATTTCTCGACTGGGTGTTGTTCCTTGTCAATACATCCATGCCAATATTCCTCTGCTCTTACAGGTAACAGGTGGATGTAGTATTTTTGTCTACACAAATAACAACTTCACAGCTGTGTTAACATTCACATTGATCGACCTTTCACAAAATGATTAAACGATACGTTAAAGTTACTGATGTGTACGATTTTGTTATAATGGGCATTGAAATATCACATTCTACCAGAGGGTATGACACTTGAAGCATGAAGATGTGACATGTGCATCATATGGGACTCGTTTACTGTAGTTTAATATTCAACTGACAAATTAATTTGGCTTCATCTAAAATACCACTAGGCACAAACATGAAAACCAATAACGTTATTTATCAGAACCACATCAATCAATACATTTCTAGCATTCGCCAAGGTGGCATCTGAACATCTACACATGGATGACCTGATTCTACATCTACATATGGTTGACCTGATTTTACATCTACATATGTAGGACCTGATTCTACTTCATCTACAAATGTAGGACCTAATTCTACCTCAACGGATATAGGACCTGATTCTACATCTACCAATAAAGAACCTGATTCTACATCTACAGATGACCTGGTTCTACATCTACTCATTTAGGAGATGATTCTATCTCTACATATGGAGGACCTGGTTCTACATCTACCCATTTAGGACATGATTCTATCTCTACATATGGAGGACCTGATTTCTACCTCTACATATGGAGGACCTGATTCTACATCTACATATGGAGGACCTGATTTCTACCTCTACATATGGAGGACATGATTCTACGTCTACATATGGATGACCTGATTCTACATCTACAGACGTAGGACGTAATTCTTCATCTACATATGGATGACCTGATTCTACTACATATTCAAATGAAAGACCTAATTTTACATCTGCAGATGTAGGACGTAATTCTACATCTACATATGGATGACCTGATTCTACTACAAATACAAATGTAGGACCTAATTCTACCTCTGCAGATGTAGGACGTAATTCTACATCTACATATGGTTGACCTTATTCTACCTCTACGGATATAGGACCTGATTCTACATCTACCCATGTAGAACCTGATTCTATATCTACAGATGACCTGATTCCACATTTCCGAATGTAGGGCATGATGGAGCACGTATGGAGCAACTGATTTCTATCGCTACATATGGAGGACATGATTCTACATCTTCACATGGCGGACCTGATTCTACATCTACATATTGAGGACATTATTCTACATCTACACATGGAGGACATGAGTCTCCAGCTACAGATGGAAGACATGATTCTACATCTACACATTGAGGTCATGATTCTACATCTCACATGGAGGTCCTGATTCTACATCTACACATGGAGGACATGATTCTACCTCTACACATGGAGGACATGAGTCTACAGCTACAGATGGAGGACATGATTCTACATCTCACATGAAGGTCCTGATTCTACATCTACATATGGAGGTCCTAATTCTATATCTACATATAGAGGACATGATCCTACCTATACACATGGAGGGCATGATTCTACATCTACACATGGAGGACATGATTCTACATCTCACATGGAGGACATGATTCTACATCTACACATGGAGGACATGATTCTACATCTACACATGGAGGACATGATTCTACATCTACACATGGAGGACATGATTCTACATCTTCACATGGAGGACATGATTCTACATCTTCACATTGAGGTTCTAATATAGAGGACATGATTATACATCTAAACATGGAGGACATGTTTCTACATCTAAACATGGAGGACATGATTCTACATCTACATATGGAGGTCCTAATTCTACATCTACATATAGAGGACATGATCCTACCTCTTCACATGGAGGAGATGATTCTACATCTACAAATGGAGGATAAGAGTCTACATCCTCAAATGTAGGACATGATTCTACATCTTCACATGGAGGACATGATTCTATATCTCACACGAAGGTCTTGATTCTACATGTACATATGGAGGTCCTAATTCTACATCCTCATATAGAGGACATGATTCTACAAATACACCTGTAGGACATGAGTCTACATCTACACATGGAGGTACTGATTCTACATCTACACATGGAGGACATGATTCTACATCTACACATGGAGGACATGATTCTACATCTACACATGGAGGACATGATTCTATATCTTCACATGGAGGACATGATTCTACATCTACACATGGAGGACATGATTCTACATCTACACATGGAGGACATGATTCTATATCTTCACATGGAGGACATGATTCTACATCCACACATGGAGGTCCTAACTCTACATCTACATACAGAGGACATGATTCTACATCTACACATGGAACACGTGATTCTGTATCTACAGATGATGGTACTGATTTTGTATCTACACATCGAACACCTGATTCTACCTCTTATCAAGGAGTCTCTAATTTGACCTCCATATATTGACGATTTGATTCTACACGTGAAGGACCTGCTTTTATCACCAGGCATGTAGGACCTGATTCAACATGTTTGCATGGAGGACAGTCTTTGACAGTCACAACATGTAGCTCCTACACACAATGCAATTACTGAGTAGTCACTTGAACAACTAATTTGAGCACATTAACTCCACACACGGAGTGGATGTAACAGATGATGTCGGTCCCAATGAGATTAATGACAGAATTGGAATGTAGGCCGATCAATAGTTTAATTAGATAGACATTGGCGCTGTGAAGGCGACTAGTCACTACCTAATTACCATGGCCAGCGGCCCCGTGACTGCTCCGTGTCACTGCTGACCAACGTATACTCAGTATGCATATGGTTGTGAAACTTGGTTTCCCCATCTCCATCGTTACACTCCAAGGATAGCTGATCAACCAGAACAGTTACGTGAACCCATGATACAAGCTGACATACAAAAAATAACAATGAATTACTGTCTGCAGTAACGTATCTGTAAAGATATAATGACTAATGTCTATGTTGAATATCGTTGTGTTTAATTACCAGTGATTATGCATCTACCGTTTATGAATTGTATTATAGAAGTAGAATCGGGTACTTCCTGTGTATTTGTAAGATCAGGTCCTACATGTGTAGATGTACAGTCAGGTCATCCGCGTGTAGATGAAGAATCAGGTCCTACATGTGTAGATGTAGAATCAGGTCTTACATGTGAAGAGGTAGCATCGGGTTCTACATGTGCAGAGATAGAATCAGGTCATCCACGTGTACTGGTAGCATTAGGTCCTTCATATGTAGATGTAGAATTAGGTAATATAGGTGTAGATGTAGAATCGGGCCCTACATGTGTAGATGTAGAATCATGTCCTCCATGTGTATAGGTAGAATCAGGACCTCAACGTGAAGATGTAGACTCGTGTCGTCCATGTGTACATGTAGATTCATGTCTTCCATGCGTAGATGTAGAATCATGTCCCCCACGTGTAGATGTAGAATCATGTCCTCCATATGAAGATGTAGAATCAGGACCTCCATGTGTAGATGTAGAATCATGTCCTCCATATGAAGATGTAGAATCAGGACCTCCATGTGTAGATGTAGAATCATGTCCTCCATGTGAAGATGTAGAATCAAGGACCTCCATGTGTAGATGTAGACTCGGGTCATCCATGTGTAGATGTAGAATCATGTCCTACATGGATTCCAATATTAGGCTGGAAACCATCACGTGACGCTTCCTACATTAGGCGTAGAAACCACCACGTGATGCTTCCTACATCAGGCGTAGAAACCATCGCGTGATGCTTCCTATATCAGGCGTAGAAACCATCGCGTGATGCTTCCTATATCAGGCGTAGAAACAATCACGTGATGCTTCCTACATCAGGCGTAGAAACTGTCACGTGATGCTTCCTACATCAGGCGTAGAAACCATCACGTGATGCTTCCTACATCAGGCGTAGAAACTGTCACGTGATGCTTCCTACATCAGGCGTAGAAACCATCACGTGATGCTTCCTACATCAGGCGTAGAAACTGTCACGTGATGCTTCCTACATCAGGCGTAGAAACCATCACGTGATGCTTCCTACATCAGGCGTAGAAACTGCCACGTGATGCTTCCTACATCAGGCGTAGAAACTATCACGTGATGCTTCCTACATCAGGCGTAGAAACTGTCACGTGATGCTTCCTACATCAGGCGTAGAAACCATCACGTGATGCTTCCTACATCAGGCGTAGAAACTGTCACGTGATGCTTCCTACATCAGGCGTAGAAACCATCACGTGATGCTTCCTACATCAGGCGTAGAAACTGTCACGTGATGCTTCCTACATCAGGCGTAGAAACCATCACGTGATGCTTCCTACATCAGGCGTAGAAACTGCCACGTGATGCTTCCTACATCAGGCGTAGAAACTGTCACGTGATGCTTCCTACATCAGGCGTAGAAACCATCACGTGATGCTCCCTACATCAGACGTAGAAACCACCACGCGATGCATCCTACATCAGGCATAGAAACTGTCACGTGATGCTTCCTACATCCGGCGTAGAAACCATCACGTGATGTTCCCTACATCAGACGTAGAAACTGTCACGTGATGCTCCCTACATAAGGCGTAGAAACTGTCACGTGATGCTCCCTACCTGAGCCGGGGAAACCATCATTACACGTGATGCTTCCTACTTCACGCGGGTAAACTATCATTTGAAACATCCTACATCAGCTGTGTCAGAGTGTTTTCCAGTGGAGATGTTGGTGTTTCTGTCAACCATCTTGAGCAGAAAAAATACCGACATTACCAATTCAATAAATGAGACGTCACTAGATGCCTTATTTTGTGCTAACGCCAGCCTGTACTTATGACTGAAACAAACCAAAGTAACATGTCTTTGATGTTAGGTAAACACGTCTGTTGTTCTTACAAACGTATATACTCAAGCACGGAAAGACCGTGTTTTATGAATATCTGTCAGCATTAGCGAACACAGACACTCGCTCGAAGCCAAATCCTTGCTGGAAGTTTCAGATTGATCCATCGCCTATTGCATGAAAAGTAATGGATGTGATGGGCGCCAGCACCATCTGTTGGCTTTCCCTTGGATTTAGCACGGAATCAGCCATGAAATGCTCGACCTTTCATCAAATGAGCAACAGTCAGCTCCTCAAGCACTTAAGTAATTGGCCAGAAAGCAGCACGTTCTTTGTGAGCAGTCTATAGCACTCGTCTCGTCAGCAAACAGTGACACGCTGAGCAGGCTAGTCGACTCACAGATGACAAACTCACTTTGCATCGATCGTGGAAACCCAGGTCATATGCTTTCAATGCATGTTCCTATCCTGATTTTGTCCTGATTTGGGGTACAATCTGAACACAATCTAAAACAGATAGTCCCTTATGAACTATGAAACAGGGCGTTTAACGCAGTTAGTAGAATTCTGCTGATGTCAGTTGAGAAATCTAAATGTGGTAGAAATACTCACACGTAAATAGTGCATGTGCCTAAAGGCACTGTGCTCTGCTCCTCATACAGTGTGGTCAAGTTGGGTTTGGTCACGTAAAAGAACGATTGGTCGGACACACTTTTAACTACATTAACTGTTGTCTACTTACCTTTCTTCTCGTAGTGCATCACCGCATTGTGATCTATGTGGTCCCGGGTTACACCGTTCACATTGGCAGCAATGTATTGGCTCATGTGACACGCCTTCTCCTCAAAGTAGTAGTCAAAACTACAACACTCAAACGTTTGTTCAGATGTACACAACTGTGCACATGCATCCAGTGTCACTCCAAGCATAACCCGGTTATATATTTGGTGTCCTTCCAATGACGGCAATGATCCACTCCCATAACATACAAATTTGCTCAGTGGGCCCTCTGTGGAAATGAAATGCTTAGATATAGTAAACTGATTGGACTTCTGTTGAATTCAAAACACGTATTAATTAGTATGCACGAGTAGCTGAAGGAGTACTCCTTAACTAGAGTAGCATGAAGGTATCAATATTAATGGATAACTAGATTTTGGGGGTTAATGACAATGTATGGACTTGTTGGTTTGTGTGCGGCTGGTGGAGCTTTATGGTGTTGTATGGGATTATATTGGATTGCATGGGGTAGTATTGGGTTGCATGGGGTTTTCGGGGGTGTTTTGGGGTTGTATGGGGTTGTTCCTCACCTGGGGACCTCCTGTAGTAGTCTGCTCCCTTGTGAGATCGAACTCCGCCTGCTGTCTCCGGGGTGTCTTCTGTCAACCAACAACTCCGAAGCTCAGGCTCATAGTCGAAACCTTCACACTTAAATCCAACTTCAAAAACGCACCTTCGTGAACACTCTTCTACGCTGACACGCGACACTTTACGGTTGTGGCGTAATGTAACCACGTGGTTTGGTAGACGATTAAATAGCTTTTCAAAGGCACCTGTGGAAAATGGAAAGAAAATATAAAGAACATTTCCTTATCTCCCCAATCTGATGGTTAACCGTGCCACAGCCTGCACAGATAACCCCTTTACTACGACACATTAGCCGACCATGGGACAGAGTTCATCAGATGTTTGCAATCATTGATTTTACTTCTTGACCTTATTACTTAATTATTACGACATAGTATCTTTGTACTTATAATAATGATAGACTTACTTCTGTAGTGATCTGTGATGTGTGCTACCTGCAACACCCCTTTCTCGTGGCTAATGTTATATAGCATACACTTCCTCAGAGAGTTATCCACGTCAAACGACTGACAGTCGAAGTGAGTTTCCTGTGTGCAGTAGCGGGCACAGGCCTCCACAGTGCAGTTCGTGTATACACGGGCCGGCGGACCCGACAACTTCAGTAGCGGCATGCGTACAAATAAACCAAGGAACGTCTTCACCTCCACTGGAAATGAAATTGTTTACTGTAATGATATACATGGCAATATACATCATACGACAGAGCACGATTAATGTTCTATGATGTACTATATTATGCATGTAGCATTGTAGATCTGTACCTCCCCTAATCTACTCCAGACGTTATAGACGACATAGAGGTGTTCATTGGATTTACGTTATAGGAGTGATGATTAATAATTCCCTTGACTCCAATTTAAGTAATTGCGTAATTTTGCTGTGAACATTACATGATGTCATAGACGTCATTGGTTCGCTGTGACAAAATCAGTTAATAAGGCAGGGATATGTGACCTTTGCAAACTGGACAAACGTGAGGAACGAGCAGGTGATAAAGGACTTGCAGAAAACGTGCTGAATATTAAAAGCCATCCATTAAGAGTACAACACTATAGGGGAGGAAGGAGGTAAAGAGGAGGGCGGCAGAGTTGGAGTATGGCAGGGAGAGCCTGGCAGACGACTTCAGGACCGGAAGCAACACCAGAAATGATCCAGAGAATCCACGATTTGTTAATGCGATCGTAGAATGAATGCGTCATATTACTAGATCAGTAGACATTACTAAAGAGAGAGTACATTTCATTATAACAGAAACTTTGACAATGAAGAAAGTATCAGCCCGTTCGACATCTGATCAGAAAAGCACCAGGAACAACATTTCTCTTGATAATCTGGCTTTGTTTGAAATGTTCTTGCAACGATAAAAGTGAGTCCAAACAACAATCAAATCAGTGAAAGCATTTGACATCACCAGCACCAAAGAAGGCAGGGACTGTCCCATCAGCTGGCAAGGTTATGGTCTCTGTGTTCTGGGATGCCGAGGGGTCATCATGTTGGACTTTCTTCCATGAGTTCAGACAATAATGGAACTGTACATATTATGCTGCACGTTTGGGTCATTTGCGGGATGGAATTAAACCTATGAGACCCGAGAAGCCGACAAAGGGTGTTCCCCTCCATCAAGACAATACGGCAGTGCACAAATCAGTCATCATTTGAACTCATTCGACACCCTCTTATTCTCCTGATCTGGCTCCGTCAGACTTCCATCTGTTCCCAAATATGCAAAAAGCTCAAGGAGCAGCCCATTTCGACTCGAACGATGACGTCATAGCAGTCATGGGTATAGTTTTGGACAGCAAAGAGAAGGAGTTCAACAAATCCCTCCATCGTCGTTTGCAATGTCTATCAATGTGGAAGGGGATTATGTTGAAAAAACAGATCATTATAATATCTTTAGGTGACGTCTTTCTATGTGAGGCTCAGAACACAGTAATCACACCTCGTTCGCTCAAAGCTTGGGTATTTCCAGACACTTGAGACTTCTTCTGGGTGTTTAGTGGACACTGGACGCTCGTTCTTGTGCTGACACCGTAGTAACATTTATCAAGTGAGTTACAAGCTGTGCATTGTACGTATTGTTCTTCAGGTAAATGTGCCTTGTTGACAAAAAGAAAGAAATAATAAACAAATAACTGGAGGCTAAGGAAGGGGGAACATTGAGGAATACAATTCTACTATTCTAAAGGCTTATGTTAAAATGAAATAAAAAAATCAGTTAAAAGGTTTGTCTGTATACGTGTCCAGATTTCCAATGTTTTGTTGATAGATTTTGTGTGCGTGAAAACCAGAAAGTGTGTACACAGGGGGTGATTGGATAGTAAATACAAGTTGTAGAATAATGTTATAACTGTTATTGTTGTAATGACAATGACGGCTCACCACTACTTATAGAACATTTAAGTTTATGTCCCGAGTGGAATACGTTTTACATAAATGAGAAAACTTGGTTCAAGAGGGACATAAACTTTATACGAATTGGCAACGAGTTGTATTTCCTATTTATTACCAACGGTGACTTTTAAGCAGTAATGAACAAAATGAATAGCATGTCTAAGTGTCCGCATAATGAGTGCAAATAATGTTTAGATATACCATGTGAAATTTTAAATAAAGCCGCATACCTTCCTGTATGCATACCAGAACACTCCAAATTATTTGAGAAGTCAATCCTAATATCAAACTTTTGTCACAACAAATTCTTCTTTAATTCAAGTTTTTGTTACATATACATATTTAAATCGACGAAACGACACGTTTTCCCTTGAAATTACTGTATATATTTGATTTTCCATCGCGACTATGCTCAGCTTGGCTGCTACTGCCGTACTGGCGATTAAGGTTAGTTTCTGATATCGTGGATGATTGTCGCCCATTTTAGTTTAGACGAAATTCATCGCTGTAGCTATATCGTTCTACAAACACAAGTTATATATATCTCACCCGAAGTGGCAGTGTCAAGTCGGATGAAAGTATGAGATAAACATGCTGAGATCACCCATCTTTTGTACTGGAATCCATACATGATAGACCATAGTATTTAGTTGGTACTACAACTTCATCAACATCAGTAAGTCACCTTACATTTAACCTACTTTTGCTATCCAAGATCAGTAAGTCGCCTTACATTTAGCCTACTTTTGCTATCCAAGATCAGTAAGTCACCTTACATTTAGCCTACTTTTGCTATCCAAGATCAGTAAGTCACCTTACATTTATTTAGCCTACTTTTGCTATCCAAGATCAGTAAGTCGCCTTACATTTAGCCTACTTTTGCTATCCAAGATCAGTAAGTCACCTTACATTTAGCCTACTTTTGCTATCCAAGATCAGTAAGTCGCCTTACATTTAGCCTACTTTTGCTATCCGAGATCAGTAAGTCACCTTACATTCAGATTACTTTTGCTATCCGAGATCAGTAAGTCGCCTTACATTCAGATTACTTTTGCTATCCGGGATACTTCTTGTTAATTCTCCTGACATCTGCAAATCGATTTTTTACTGAAACCACACAAAGTACAATAGGTCAGTATTTGTCTATATTGAATTTGTCTACGTGGATGCATTCGGCATTGAGGGGCTAAAACAAGGACATGTCGGCTCTGAGTCAGTATACTGTGTTTGAGTGGGGTATTCATGTTTAACTGGGGCATGGTATCTCAATGGGCTTGTAAAACTGGCATAGTGCAAGCAGCTACACACACGCACACATGTCGCAACATGTATATAAATGCAATAATCTTGAGTGCGACGTTCAACCCCATTTCACCTCACCTCATTACTATACATTAGAAATAAAGTTGACTGCAGCTCACACATGGTCATACTTACTTCTTATAATGCTATACATTACCCATGCACATTCTTCGGTCATAAAATAAACAATATACGTGAGCTATCAAAAATGTCAAAAACCTTATTAAAACCTAGACGAATACAATAAAATCTACCACCTTTTTGAGTAATTACTTGTAAACAATAGAGTACAACTTCTACATGCCGATAATCTAGACTGGTTAGTCTCTTGCGCTTGCAAATTCTATTGTGTTGTGGAGTATCCCACCAAAGGTCTGATTGATTCCCTTTGTTCGGCTATGCTTTCCCAGTAGATCAGACAACCGGCAATTCTTAATGAAACTGTATTTACATCTACTTGTATCTAGACCAAAACACTACAGTATATATGCAATGTATGTGTAGCTGATGATACAGTTATTTATCTATGTAAGTGCATCATGTATACAATAGTAATAAGGTATCATTCTTGATGCGTTTATGAACACTCTTATGGATGAGTTAATGAATCGATCAAAAGTAGTACCAGCAAGGTCACGGTTCGCACATCCGATAAAATTCCACGCAAGTGACACAAGTGTTATCTAGCTGTTTGTTACGTTACCTGTTCAGGCAGGACCAGGCGGGTAATAATGAATTAGTCATTAGTTACGGTAATCAATGTGTGTACGGACTGTGTGTTATAACATGGGGCGGCCGTGTTCAGATACTTGGTGCTGGTCACAGTTTGAGAAAATTATATCACCTCCTTAACTAGAGAAAACCTCTGTGCTACAAAAGAACGTGAAGGGCAGGGTTTTAATACCAAACAACAATCCGACATAATGCCGTTGATGACAGTCTAAACGCATCAGTGTAATGAGTATTGATTCTGTGCCATCAACCATACAGACGGAGGCAGCTAGTGACTCGGGGAGCACGACCAGTGGCTAGCAATTGCCTCAACAAGTTTTTATGACAAGTGTGTGATGGCGAGCGGTGTTGGTGTGAAATTGGGAAGATGTGTGTGGATCGATGAAGAGCGGACCTCCCAGTGTTATCGTCTTCTGCTGCCGCAGGGGAGTCCAACTTGTTAACTGTCTGCGCACCAGCCATGTGAGCTTGGAAATTGCCAGAGTAATCGTTGTGGTATTACTTCACTACTGATAACTGTAGCTAAACGTTTGATGTCGACTGTCACATCTGAAGTTGTGATGAATAAACGTCGAATATCGTGTTTCTATATACTAAATGGAACCACTGTGGCCAATGTCTGTGCTTCTCAACTACTGTGAAGGAAGGAGTACAATGATTTTCAGATGTATACAGCACATACACTAAGATCTACACCCAGAAGTATACTTCACACATCGTCACCAGAGATTATACTATACATACACTGAGGTCTTCACCAGAGATGTAACACCAGACAAATACAAAGATGTTCACCAGAAATATACACTACACAAATACAAAGATCTTTACCAGACATATACACTATACAAATACTAAGATGTTCACCAGAAATATACACTACACAAATACTAAGATCTTCACCAGAAATATACACTACACAAATACAAAGATCTTTACCAGAAATATACACTATACAAATACTAAGATGTTCACCAGAAATATACACTACACAAATACTAAGATCTTCACCAGAAATATACACTACACAAATACTAAGATGTTCACCAGAAATATGCACTACACAAATACTAAGATCTTCACCAGAAATATACACTACACAAATACTAAGATCTTCACCAGAAATATTAACTTCATAAATACTAAGATGTTCACCAGAAATATACACTACTCAAATACAAGAAATACTTCACCAGAGATCTACACTACACAAATAATAAGCTCTTCGCCAGAGATGTACACTTCACAAATAATATGTTCACCATCAATGTACCCTACAAAAATACTCAGATCTTCACCAGAAATATACTCCACACAAATACTCAGATTTTCCCCAGAAATATACACTACACAAATAATAAGATGTTCACTATCAATATACACTACACAAATAATAAGATCTTCATCAGAAATATACACTACACAAATAATAAGATCTTCCCCAGAAATATACACTACACAAATACAAAGATCTTCCCGAGAAATATACACTACACAAATAATAAGATCTTCACCAGAGAGGTACACTACACAAATACTCAGATATTCCCGAGAAATATACACTACACAAATAATAAGATCTTCATCAGAGATGTACACTACACAAATAATAAGATCTTCACCAGAGATGTATACTACACAAATAATAAGATCTTCACCAGAGATGTATACTACACAAATAATTAGATCTTCACCAGAGATGTACACTACACAAATAATAAGATCTTCACCAGAGATGTACACTACACAAATAATAAGATCTTCACCAGAGATGTATACTACATAAATAATTAGATCTTCACCAGAGATGTACAATACATAAGCAATCCACGCTCAATACCCACATCCTTTCCCTCATGACGTAATTAGATCACCACTTTTTTGTAATTGTCAAGATGTTAATAGTGCATGTAACTAAGAAGTTAGTTTTCGAATTTGAATGAAGCCAATGTGCGTTCGTGTTACTCTTACCAAAGACGGTATGGTGACACTGGCAACATGTGCTTGTGACGGCTGTAACGTTATGTATATGATGCTTATTGCGTTCTTGTGGCTATTTGCAGACAATAGAAGTGATGATTAACGGCTGATGTTCTGTTGTACGGGCAGATGGTTATTTTGGGTTCAGACATTGAAGTGGGATTGACTTCTCTTCTCGTTTCTATAGAAACATTGACACTTTCTTCTATATAGTCATTATCATCACTCGGTCGCAATGGATGGTTATCTCTGATAAATAGAAGAATATACACGTTACGGGCGAACGTTTCTGTGAGTGTTCTCGGGGCTTCGAAGTACTCAAGATTTTGTATTTGTACGGATGGGGATCTGTTCGGCAACCTTGAACCTTCCTCTCGCTGTTGCAAGGAATACTGCAGGCAGCGCTAGACACACGATTGTGTTTAACCAGAAACAATGCACCTGTTCAGGTGCAATATCTTAACATACTTGGCATGCGTTTGTTACTTGGATAATCCACGGCACGTGATACTGGGACCATTTCTGACTCGAAACCACCACTGAGAGATGAAAATGGGGAATGATGACCTTCATTCTGCCCCGAAAACAAAACAGGGGGACAAATATGGGTTACAGGGGATCTTCATACTGCCCCGGATACACAACAGGGGTGACAAATATGGGTTACTGGGTACTTGTTCTGTCTTGGAACCACTATATGGAGATAAATACATGGAACTGGGACTGATGTTCCCCGGGAACACCGCATGGTAACGACTGAGGGAATTGGGGGGACTGTGTTTAAATCATCAAGACCCCCCCCCCCCCCCCCCCCCCCCATTATCATTAAGAAATAGGCTGACACTAAATTAATTCTCACAGTTTTGCTATATATTATTTCCATGAAGTTTAAATTCACCCAATATCGCGATAACTGTATACATTTGTTGGAAGACGACGTTGTGTTATTATCGTGTGACAAGATACTCCAATTGTTTGCATGACAGGCACAGGAAGTAACTATATAATAATATTTTATTGTTATATTATTTGTTCTGCTTCTGCTAAATCAAAACTAAAACAACTTTTTTCTTGACTTGAAACAAGAAACCCTTGTATTAAAGATAACTCTCCACAAATAGTGGTCAATAGGCTGACGATGACACACATGCTTCTACTTGTCATGCAGACGGTTGACTTGTCTTGGTTGTCTGAGAGCTCTGTAATCTATAATCAAACAGCGGGCTCCAAGAGCGTCGTTCAACCGTGCAGCCTGCATGAGTCTATTGTTATATACTGTAAAGACAACTGGGAAATACGTAAACACAAAACCCCAAAATAGATACTTAATAATATTCAAGTTTTAATCAAAATGCTATATTCTAGGAACGTTGATATCAATTTCTCAACGCCAGTGACACTATTTAGCCTGCTATATGTTTCGGGGTGCTAGACTTACCTGCCATACCAGGTAAAAGAGCCAGTGTAAGTACAAACGTTGTTTCCCAACTGGACGCCATGATCGAATACTTTCCTGCAACACACAGCGCTCACACTCTCCTTCAATAACACTTTAACTTTGACTTAATCCACGCCAACTTGGGAAGTATTCCTCATGCTAGTTCGCACAGAGAAGGCTGACATCCACGTCTATCCGAGGCAGCCACTGTATTGAATAAGGCCTGGGCCCATATCGAGCCACTAGTCTTCGTGTCTGGCAGACTGGGAGGCGTGCACTACTACAGCACACTTCCATAGTCGCGGATCGATCCTGTCGATACCACTATCCGCCATAGCTAATAAACCCTACAAGTTGCAACCAGGAAATAACTGGTATTTCCACCAAACTAGCATTAATTGAAATATGAGAGGGACTTGGCCTTTTGCGTTTTCAAGAATAAGAAAAGGAGATTTAGCAACGGCGACGTAGTCGTAACAAGAGAAGCTTGTTAATGGACAAGTTAACTTTACATCTTACAAAAGGATGTTCAGTACATATATAGTACAATAAGTACCCATATACCTTTTTACCTTCCTTACAGTTACCGGCCACCAGAACATCACAGATGAATCTGAACAACACTACCATGGACTGCTGTCTGTGCTTCATGTATGACCTACTGTCCATGGTAAATATGTGGGAGTTCAGTTTAACAAAACACAGTACATTATAGGCGGTAAATACACAGTACACCGTACATTGTACAATGTAAATATATTGAGTGTTTTTGTCCATTAAAGAGAAACAATATTCCCTCATCCACTTATATATCTGGACATCCTACATGTAAAGACTGTTGAAGGCATTTCCTTGAATATTTTCAGGACGCGCGGATAAAAAGTGAATGAGTTAAACAGTCTTTACATGTAAGACGCATTGATGTAAGTGAAGGAGTTAAACACTCAGTCTTTACATGTAAGACGCATGGGAATATAAGTGAAGGAGTTAAACAGTCTTTACATGTAAGACGCACTGATATATAAGTGAAGGAATTAAACAGTCTTTACATGTAAAACGCATGGATATATAAGTGAAGGAGTTAAACGGTCTTTACATGTAAGACGCATGGATATAAGTAAAGGAGTCAAAACAGTCTTTACATGTAAGACGCATGGATATATAAGTGAAGGAGTCAAAACAGTCTTTACATGTAAGACGCATGGATATAATTGAAGGAGTTAAAACAGTCTTTACATGTAAGACGCATGGAGGTAAGTGAAGGAGTTAAACAGGCTTTACATGTAAGACGCATGGATATAAGTGAAGGAGTTAAACAGTCTTTACATGTAAGACGCATGGATATAATTGAAGGAGTTAAAACAGTCTTTACATGTACGACGCATGTATATAAGTGAAGGAGTTAAACAGTCTTTACATGTAAGACGCACGGAGGTAAGTGAAGGAGTGAAACAGTCTTTACTGTAAGAAGCATGGAAATATAAGTGAAGGAGTGAAACAGTCTTTACATGTAAGACGCATGGATATAAGTGAAGGAGATAAACAATCTTTACATGTAAGACGCATAGATATAAGTGAAGGAGACAAAACAGTCTTTACATGTAAGTCGCACGGATATAAGTGAAGGAGTTAAACAGTCTTTGGATGTAAGACACATGGATATATAAGTGAGGGAGTTAAACAGTCTTTACATGTAAGACGCATGGATATATAAGTGAAGGAGTTAAACAGTCTTTACATCTAAAACGTCTTTACATGTAGGACGCACAGATATGTAAGTGAAGGAGTTAAACAGTCACTACATGTAGGACGCACGGATATGTAAGTGAAGGATTTAAACAGTGTGTACATGTAGGACGCACGGATATGTAAGTGAAGGATTTAAACAGCCTCTACATGTAGGACTCACAGATATGGAGGTAATGGAGTCTAAACAGTCTTTCCATGTAGGAAGCACAGATATTTAAGTGAAGGAGTCAAAACAGCCTTTACATGTAGGACCCGAAGATATGTAAGTGAAGGAGTGTAACAGTCTTTACATGTAAGACGCATGGATGTAAGTGAAGGAGTTAAACAGTCTTTACATGTAAGACGCATGGATAAAATATAAGTGAAGGAGTTAAACAGTATTTACATGACTTAAACAGTCTTTAAATGTAGGACGCAAAGATATGTAAGTGAAGGAGTTAAACAGTCTTTACATGTAGGACGCACGGATATGTAAGTGAAGGATTTAAACAGCCTCTACATGTTGGACGCACAGATAGGTAAGTGAAGGAGTCAAAAAAGTCTTTACATGTAGGACTCACAGATATGGAGGTAATGGAGTCTAAACAGTCTTTCCATGTAGGAAGCACAAATATTTAAGTGAAGGAGTTAAACAGTCTTTATATGTAAGACTCACAGATATGTAAGTGAAGGAGTCAAAACAATCTTTACATGTAAGACGTCTTTACATGTAGGACGCACAGATATGTAAGTGAAGGAGTCAAAACAGACTTTAGATGAAGGACCCAGAGGTATGTAAGTGAAGGAGTTAAACAGTCTTTACATGTGGGACGCATAGATATTTAAGTGAAGGAGTTAAACAGTCTTTACATGTAAGACGCATGGATGTAAGTGAAGGAGTTAAACAGTCTTTACATGTAGGAAGCACAAATATTTAAGTGAAGGAGTTAAACAGTCTTTACATGTAGGACGTACATAAATATAAGTGACCGAGTCAAAACAGTCTTTTCATATAGGACGTACAGATATATAAGTGAAGGAGTTAAACAGTCTTTACATATAAGACGCATGGATGTAAGTGTTGGTGTTAAACAGTTTTTACATGTAAGACGCATGTATATAAGTGAAGGAGTTAAACAGTCTTTACATGTAAGACGCATGGAGATAAGTGAAGGAGTTAAACAGATATGTAGGTGAAGGAGTCAAAACAGTCTTTACATGTAGGACCCACAGATATGTAAGTGAAGGAGTTAAACAGTCTTTACATGTAGGACGCATAGATATTTAAGTGAAGGAGTTAAACAGTCTTTACATGTAGGACTCACAGATATGGAGGTAATGGAGTCTAAACAGTCTTTCCATGTAGGAAGCACAAATATTTAAGTGAAGGAGTTAAACAGTCTTTACATGTAGGACCCAGAGATATGTAAGTGAAGGAGTTAAACAGTCTTTACATGTAGGACGCATAGATATTTAAGTAAAGGAGTTGAACAGTCTTTACATGTAAGACGCATGGATGTAAGTGAAGGAGTTAAACAGTCTTTACATGTAGGAAGCACAAATATTTAAGTGAAGGAGTTAAACAGTCTTTACATGTAAGACTCACAGATATGTAAGTGAAGGAGTCAAAACAGTCTTTACATGTAAGACGTCTTTACATGTAGGACGCACAGATATGTAAGTGAAGGAGTCAAAACAGTCTTTAGATGTAGGACCCAGAGATATGTAAGTGAAGGAGTTAAACAGTCTTTACATGTGGGACGCATAGATATTTAAGTGAAGGAGTTAAACAGTCTTTACATGTAAGACGCATGGATAAAATATAGGTGAAGTAGTTAAAGTCATTCTTTACATGTAATACGCATGGATATAAGTGAAGGAGTTAAACAGTCTTTACATGTAAGACGCATGGATATATAAGTGAAGGAGTTAAACAGTCTTTACATGTAAGACGCATGGATAAAATATAGGTGAAGTAGTTAAAGTCATTCTTTACATGTAAGACGCATGGATGTAAGTGAAGGAGGTAAACAGTCTTTACATGTAAGACGCATGGATATATAAGTGAAGGAGTTAAACAGTCTTTACATGTAGGACGCATAGATATTTAAGTGAAGGAGTTAAACACTGTCAGTCTTTACATGTAAGACGCATGGATGTAAGTGAAGGAGTTAAACAGTCTTTACATGTAAGACGCATGGATAAAATATAAGTGAAGGAGTTAAACAGTCTTTACATGACTTAAACAGTCTTTACATGTAGGATGCACAGATATGTAAGTGAAGGAGTTAAACAGTCTTTACATGTTGGACGCACGGATATGTAAGTGAAGGATTTAAACAGCCTCTACATGATGGACGCACAGATATGTAAGTGAAGGAGTCAAAAAAGTCTTTACATGTAGGACTCACAGATATGGAGGTAATGGAGTCTAAACAATCTTTCCATGTAGGAAGCACAAATATTTAAGTGAAGGAGTTAAACAGTCTTTACATGTAAGACTCACAGATATTTAAGTGAAGGAGTCAAAATAGTCTTTACATGTAAGACGTCTTTACATGTAGGACGCACAGATATGTAAGTGAAGGAGTCAAAACAGTCTTTAGATGTAGGACCCAGAGATATGTAAGTGAAGGAGTTAAACAGTCTTTACATGTGGGACGCATAGATATTTAAGTGAAGGAGTTAAACAGTCTTTACATGTAAGACGCATGGATAAAATATAGGTGAAGTAGTTAAAGTCAGTCTTTACATGTAAGACGCATGGATATAAGTGAAGGAGTTAAACACTCAGTCTTTACATGTAAGACGCATGGATATAAGTGAAGGAGTTAAACAGTATTTACATGTAAGACGCATCTATATATAAGTGAAGAAGTTAAACAGTCTTTACATGTAAGACGCATGGATATAAGTGAAGGAGTTAAACAGTCTTTACATGTAAGACGTCTTTACATGTAGGTGGCACAGTTATTTTAGTGAAGGAGTCAAAATAGTCTTTACATGTAAGACGTCTTTACATGTAGGACGCACAGATATGTAAGTGAAGGAGTCAAAACAGTCTTTACATGTAGGACGCACAGATATGTAAGTGAAGGAGTCAAAACAGTCTTTACATGTAGGACGCACTGCGATGTAGGTAATGTAGTCTAAACAGTCTTTACATGTAGGAAGCACAGATATGTAAGTGAAGGAGTCAAAACAGTACTTAGATGTAGGACGCACGGAAAAATAAGTGACGGAGTCAAAACGGTCTTAACATGTAGGAAGCACAAATATTTAAGTGAAGGAGTTAAACAGTCTTTACATGTAAGACGCACAGATATGTAAGTGAAGGAGTTAAACAGTCTTTACATGTAGGACGTACATAAATATAAGTGACCGAGTCAAAACAGTCTTTTCATATAGGACGTACAGATATATAAGTGAAGGAGTTAAACAGTCTTTACATGTAAGACGCATGGATGTAAGTGTTGGTGTTAAACAGTTTTTACATGTAAGACGCATGTATATAAGTGAAGGAGTTAAACAGTCTTTAC